TAACCAGCAATGGGGCTTTCTTGGTCCCTACACGATCGATGGCATAAGCGATCTGCAGCGGTCCTTGGACGGACGACCAGGCGTGCCAGTGTCTCGTCACGGCGCCTTCGGATGGCCATCAGTACGTTATTGGGTCCCGTACTGCAGATCACCAAGATCCCACACCACACCGCCCATCCATCTCAGCGGGTGGTGGTCTCAAGCATCGAGCTACCACAAGGAGTAGGTAAACGAACGCTCAAACCGCCGCCATTCACGAGAATAGGTAGGTAGTCCCAACTTGAATTTTCTTAGAGCGCATGAGGTTCATTGAGCAATGCAGAGTCAGAGACTAGACCCCTAAAAAGAGCGGCGGCGCGCGCCAGGGCCGTTCAATGACCTCACCCCTTGCGTCAAGCGTGGTTCCATGGCGCGTGTCTTCTGTCATATCTCCTCTCATCTCCCGAGGCGAGACAAGCCAAACGACGTGATGGCATTCCACTAGAAGGGCTCGAAGCTTCAGGGTCCAATAAGCCACCACCAACCAACCTAAGCGACCGTCCCAACGGGGCGCCGTGGCTCAATAAGCCAAACGGCCCGCGGGCGTCACCCCCTCAGCTCTCCGCCGTCAGTACTCAGGAGAGCGACGTCCGCCCCCTCTGGTGATCGACTCGATCTGCTCAATGCGCGCGAAAGAATGAAGCACCAGCAAGCCTCAGATGGTCGATCTGCGGTACGCACATTCTTTTCTTGAATAACCAGAAATCCTGACCAACCCTGCCCAACGCAGAAAGGAATGCCACTAGAAAAGTTGGTCCTACACTCCTGCTACTGTGGAGGATTTCAGGGTCCATTTCGGAGGGGTCGATCAATCATGCAACGTCCGGGGTGGCATTGAATGTTCTTCTTGTTCTTTCTCTCCGCCGGGTGTCGAACCTATGTCCACCTCGACCAGTTACGTGCCAACACGGCGAGTCGGACGACAACGATGATGAGAGCATAGCCCAGGGGATAGGCCTGTGAGGAATTCAAGAAATGGAGCAGCAAAGATGGGTGCCCGACACTACGTCCAACCAACCAACGCCGGACGACGATCATTGGAAAAATTATCGAGAGAGTTTTCTTGGCTGGATGGTCCTAACTTTCCTTGATTCACGGTTACTCGGCGGGCGACGACAGCCCTAGTGAAGCTTACGGAGTATGTCTTTTCGAACGGGAGACCCTGCGACGTCGACGTCGTTGATCAGTGCCCTACGGATATACACTCCGTACTCACAGCAACGTCTACGGGTGCACCACTTACTCACCCACATTATACCTCACGGATACAGGGCGGCAGGTCACAGCAGGGCTGTCGGTCCCAAGGCCCCCCGTTCCCGGCTCTCCCTTTGCTCTACCCCGCCTCATTCATTGAGGCCCCCGCCATCTCCGTTCGGTACTACCGGGGTGTACCACGGGGGGAACGCGGCCGACGCCGTTACGCACCATCCAGCGTCCACACTACTTACCACCACCGAGCCATCGCAACATCCAGTCCTCTGGTGTGCAGTGCGATTACCCGCCCGGCTGGCCGCATCAAGCAACCACGTACACCCATGACTTGCCGCTTCCCGGCGCCGTGCAACGACGGCATCGTGATACCCTCTCACTTTCTCTCCCTTCCTCGCTCGCCTCACATACCTGCGCCCTTTGGTCCAACCTCTCCGGTACTTGGTAAGGCAGGTCGATGGATTCTACTTGGTGCTTGGGGATGCCAGCCACCGGGATCCCGCATCCTGCCCTTCCAACCTACGGGCTTTCCGTCGAACGGGATATGCCTTACATGACTCTAGGCATACAAGACTTTTTGTCCAGTAATCAAATCCAGCCAAGGCCTCTTCGCCCCTCTCCGCACATGAGGAACCTGGAGGATTTCCGTGTTGCCATCTCGTGCCATATTCCACTAATGCCCGTTGCGGTCAGCGGCAAGCACGTAGCCGCGGCGCTGCAACATCTGTTGGAAGGTGACCACGCCTCGCCTCCCCGCCTCAAAGTGTATGTATTCTTCTTTCCGGGCTCCAGCGGCCGTCATCGATGCTGTGCCAGATAATCCTGACGCCCGTCGCCGTCGCCCCCGCTGCTGCTGCTGCTCACCTGAGATTCACCTGAAAGGTCAGTTTCGAGGATGGCCCGTCAACTGCTTGCACGGCAGGCGAAGGCCGCGAGACCCTGCGACTCGCGGGTGATGCATATGGGAACTGTGCCTTCATCCCTTTTTTTATCTCTTTGGGCGGCAAACATGCACGTAGCTTTAAATGTGGAATTATGGTCTCGTCTACAGCGCGCCCAGTTGAATGATGAGTTCGGACGCGTCAACGAGTGAACTTAGATGAGCGGACGTGGAAAACGGGGTTCCCACCACGCAGCCGCCCGTGACACTCCTGCCGGCGTCTCGCGCTCGTGTGGGGAGTTTGCTTCGTATCCAGCGTTGCCCATGATGGCTGCTCTGCCTGGATGATGATGATGCAAATTGTGGCTGGTCGTAGCCTTGCGTTTTAAGGCAGGTGACCTCCGGGCCCTGCTCTGGTTCCTGTAGGCTGTGGGTTGGGGCTAGATAGCGATGGCCTTGTTGGTTCTTGCCTCCAATGGCAACGAGCGCTGGATGATTCAGATTGAATTCAGGCGTTTGTTCCCGTTTGAACTCTTTGGGTTCCATGCGGTCGAGGATTCCATAGCGAGGATGTTGATGTAGGTGTGGCGGTTGTGGTTTACATGGGCGAGCGAGGCTGGATATTGATATTATGATTTGACTGGATCGCATCAATTGGTGTGCAGCATTCGCTGTGGTGTACACGTAGAGTCTAGCTTGGTCTCATCAGAGATCTATTCATATTGCAGAAGACGAATAGCTCGTTCTTCTTGGTGTGCGATATCGCGCGAGCTGCTTACCACTGAATTCCAGCCTCGTGACACTTTGCTCATTTCGTCTCATGAGACTAGGCTATTGTATCCAGCGAGACTGAAAACGAGCTGGCTACCCGAGTCATTGTTTCTCTGAATCAATATAATTCGCTTTCCTAGCATTTAAAGGTCCTCTCTGGGAGTGTTCAAGGGAAACGTATCATTTGATGAGATTAATTGCAATGATCTTTTCCATGTGTCTTCCTATAATCAGATTCATGACACATGCAGTCTGCTAATATCCTGGTGTGAAGCCCTTTGTCACCAACGGCATGCCTTTCAGTCCATCGAGTGAGCTTGCCCTTGTGGAAAGTCTTTCCGGTCGTCGATGTAATCGACATCGCCGTAACCCTTCTTCGCAGACATATCTCAGCCTCGCGTCGTGTCTGTGAGTGAGGCTAGTAGTCTCCGGTCACGAAGGCATGCCACACCCAAAAGAACACAACCCTTAATTAACCTGGAAAGATATTAAGAGAGAGACAAATACGTACTCGTACGGTTCGTGAACCAGGTCGTCCAGATATCTATTTCTTGAGAAGACGTCACCTCATGGGATCACCGTAATTGTGTTGATACCTCGGTATCTATGTATTGGGGTAGTTTCCTGGAGGATTCGGAGCCCGTGTATCATACCTCAAGAGCATCGTGACTAGGCAAGAGCATTGTGACTAGGAGGAACCATCTGCGGCATGTCTCAAGCAATCGCGAGAGAGAGGCGCCTCGACCTACGTCAAGCTGGAACCTGATGGATTCAAGGCGTTACCCCTTCTACCACCTGCCTACCTCACCAGAATTCAAATGGGAGACGTCCCATCTAAGCCTTTTGCAACAATCAACCATGCTCCTGCTCACGCTCGCTACAACCCATTCGAGCTCAAGCTTTCTATACCGGTCTCTAAAAAACGCCCTCGAACATCCCAAGATCTATAACTCCCCAGGCCTCAAACCAGAAAGAAAGGGAAAACAGCATCACGGTCTCGGATTTCTCGAAGCCTTACCATACTACCGTATGAAGAACCGGTCCTTCCGCACGGGGGAGAGACTAAAGGGGCTTGACATGTCATGTACGTGTCTTGGGGACACTGGCGGCTATGTTCCGGGTACCCAACCTCACGGACACGAGAAAGAGACAGAGAGAGAGAGTGGTTTGCCCAAACGCAGAACATGAGATGAGAAACTCTGTGCTATTCATGCCAAATTTTTGAGAATGACATCCATCATTCCTCTCATGCCTCTGAACCCTTGGAACTCCTTTACCCCTTGAAGCCTCTCGACCCCCCATATCTCGATCCCCGCGAGGCCCTGGATCCTCGCTCAACCATGACAGATTCGTCAATAGGGGTTCTTCAATCCCTTCATCCCAAATATGACAAGCCTCACAGTGAACAGACCCATCAGTGACCAAGTCTCCTTGTCTAACTCTCATCATCTATAGCAATCCTGCCCTCAAAACAGGTCGGGCCCTTCTTGCATGCACGGATAGACAAGGGGAAACGATTCAAGAGAAATCTGAAATACAAACATGAAGCATTCACCCATGGATGCGCTGGTCTCCTCACCCTTATGGCTCGCAAGGTCAGATGAGAGAGCATAGGCTAGGGATACGTGGGCTAGGGGGGGGGGAGGGGTTCGTGAACATGATGTTCGAATGAGAGGACTCAGGAGGAAGAGGATTGGGCCTCTTTATCTCGACTCGTACTGCACTGCCGTAGCTCCCTCCTCATATGCTCTCGGGAGAGTATTGTTGAGTATTTCTTAAGCTGCTACAAAGACTTCTTCGCATGATGGCACGCTGGAGACCTAAAGTAATCATGTCAAGTCATAGCTCAACGTAGTCTCCATTTCATCTAATTCTTTTGTCTGTGTCTAAAGAGTCGCTTCGCAGTCAGAGTTGTGCCTCCCTTATCCTCGTACAAACATCTACAAGCCTTACTACCTAGCCATGACTACTGCTCAAGGCTGGTCAGGGTGACCCTGGGAGCAGAGCAATGGCTCCAATGACCCCCAATACCCCTCCGTCCTCAACCTACAAACACACCCAATGGGTGTCTGCCCAACAAGGGACAATTCACCACGCCTCCTCATCTCTTCGCAGACGCCGCGACCTTCGCAGTAAAGAAGGAATGCTTCAGCGCGTCGGCGGGTTTGATCCTCTTCTCCGGGTTGAGCGTCAAGCAGTGCTCGAGCAGGTCGACAAAATGGTTCAGGTCCCTCGTCTCGGCGTCGTTCATACCCGCTGACGTGGCAAAGAGGCGGGTGCGCAGATCACGCGTTGGTTTGACGACGGGCAGGACCCTGGCAGTTGTCTGTGTGAGGATGTGGGTTAGCGAACAGCTGAAATTTTTTGCTACTATTTTCAAACACAAAGGCCCATCATCGGCCCATCGACAAAATAAGGTCATGATGCAATAGCGTGGCAGGCGACTACCGGTATAGGCTTGCAGCGGAGGGTCCCTCCGTGTGATGGAAACATTTCCTGTCAACTTTGACAAATTGACCCGACGCGTCGGACCCTTTGTGCAGGATACAAGGGGCGGCGGAGGGGCAAAAAGAACAGGGGCAAGTAGGAGAAACTAGATAGGGGGCGAAGTTAAGATGATGCGGCCGTGACAAACAGTCCCTGAGACAGCTCATCCTCCGAAGATGGGAGGATTTGTTCGCGGGCCTTCCATACTAGGGTACCTTTCCACCCTAGCAAGTCATGCGAGTGCGAACAGTCCGAAGTGTTTGCTTCCAACAGTATCGTGACTGGTCACTGTAGATGACGACCAACCCGTTAGCTGGGCGGCATCGCGACGCGAGCGTTCCGGGGCACGCGCTCGGACTTGACTGACGGACGGCCCGCAGAGCTGTGGGAGGGTGGATGCGTGCGTACGCATGTGCAGCGGCGCCTCAGCGCTTACAGCCGCACTCCGCCTCAACTAGACCCATCTCGGGACCCTGTCGGCCAAACTAGCATCTCTGAGGATGATTGGGCCATGGGTTCAAGCTTTGAAGCGAGGCAGAATGCAGAGTCGTTGAGATATGGGGTAGAGGGGTGAAAGCCATATGCAAGCAAAAGAACAAACACCGAGACCACAAACCAATAACGTACCTTTCCAAGCACCTTGTCCCGCTCCATGCTGACAAAGTTGCCCATTTCATCAAAGTGCATCGCCGAGAGTTGACCCCGTTTATAGAGCTTTGGCGTAATCTTGCCACGGATCTCCATGATGGCCTTGAGCATCTGATTGTTACTGTCGCCTGCGAAGAGAATTTTGCCCGTGTACAGCTCGTACAATGTGGCACCGATGGACCACATGTCGATAGAGTAGTCATAGGGCATTCCGAGAATGATCTCTGGTGCTCTGTAAAAGCGACTGACCAGGTACGGGGTGATCTCATTGTGCGCCGTAGCTGCGTCAGACTTGTCGATGCCGGTTCCCAAGTCACAAATCTTGAGCACATTTCGACTTTCGTTGACCTACTGTTGGTTAATGAAGTTCTTCGTCCAATCGCCAACATTGGCAGTACTTACTAAGATATTGTCAGGCTTCAAATCTGCGTGGATGATACTGCATTTACGCATGTGAGCAAGGCCAATGAAGATTTGGTGGGCGTATGCTCGCGTGGCGCCCAAGTTGATACCGACATTGTTGCCGAATTTCTTGAGCACTTCGCGCAGGTTGAGACTCAGGTTCTCAAACGCCATGCACAAGTGGCCCTTGTGGTCGAAGTGCCGTTCAAACTTGACGATATGCTTGCGATTTTCTGGATCGGCGTCGTTGAGCTTTTGCAGGATGGCAATCTCGGTGAAACCTCCCTTCCTCAGCGCATCGTTGTTTCTCATGATCTTGACAGCGACCAGCTTCTTGTTCGTAATGTCGACGGCCCGCGCAACGCCGGAGAACATACCCTTGCCCAAAGCCGACTGGACCTGATAACGCCCGTTGAGGATCTCACCAATGCGAAGCTTGTAGTAACCGTCCTTGTCGTCGCCCTCAAGAATGGCTCCGTTTGGCGGCGCAAGAGCGGGTGAGGCCTTGGACTCGTCCACCACAGCTACCTTGACAGGGTTGGGTGCGGCGTACTTGTCGTCATCAAAGTCTTCAGCAAACATGTCGAAATCGTCATCATCGCCGTCGTCTTCCGATGACTTCTTCGCAGGGGCTTCCTGAGGTTGGTCCTGTGGCTGCGTTTCGTTCTTTGTGTCAAGAGCTTCGCCATGAACACCCACGTTACCATGTCGCATCTCATCGCGCCTTTCGTCCTCCTTCATGTCGGCCGTGGGATCGTAATCTGCAGCTGAGGGTCCGTCCTCCTCCGTAGCATCGCCACCGCCATGAGTGTTCATGAGGTCGCTCTCATTCACAATGTCAATAGCGCCAGGCGAACTTCCGTCTCGGGCAGGTGAGGCAATGTCTGCAAACTTAGCAGTTGTCAAACTCTGGAGGGCAAGATTCTTACCTGTGCCTGGGGTCCCAAGATCCGCTGTTGGAGTGCTTTCCCGGGCTGGTGATGGAATCGCCGACTTGTCAGCCGCATGTAATGCGTGAATAAGCAGTGGAGTAGCCGAGCTAGACTTTGCGAGTAGCTCATCACGGCGTCGTCGCCTGCGTTCGATCTCAGCTTCCTCGTCAATGACCATTGGCTCCTCAGGCTCCTCGTAGCTATGATCTGGTTCTACCACCCGCGGAGCGCTATCACCGGGCGTTAGCAGGAACCGAGTCCTCTTGGGGGGAGGAGAGACGGACGCCTGGCCCCGAGAGCGAGAAGCCGCAGAAGTTTCGCGGTCTGCAGAGTCTTTCACAGGTTTAGCATCTTCTCTGGAAGCGCGCGAATCCATTCCTACAGCGACCCCGATCGGCGCCGCGCGTCCGTTTCGGGCGTTTCGGTCCCCGTTGTCGTCGTACTTTAAGCCGCGGAACGAATGAGTGAGACGATCGTGCCTGCCGTCTCTGGCGTAGTGATCATCGCGACCTCCTCGCTCACCGCGTGGGGGCCGGTAAGGCGACCTGGTACGGTTACGCTGTCTCTTATCCGGGTATCGGTCCCTCTCGCGATCGCGATCGCGCTCCCTGTCCCTGTCTCTGTATGAGTCTCTCTCGCGGCTGCGGTTCCTGTCGCGATCGTCGTAGCTGGTGTTCGAGCCGCGGGATGGCGGGCGGTCTAGGTCTTCGTACGATACGCGCGAGCGGCGGTAGTCATCCCTCGCACCGTCTTCATAGTGCACGCGGAAGCGGCGGGTTTCCTGTCGTCCTCCACCAGCGTAGTCACGCTCATCGCGGGCGCGCTTAAACCCGCGGGGCGGCGGGGGGGAACGGCTGCGTCTCGAAAAGTGGTGGTTGTTTCTGGCGAAACTGTCGTACTCGGGGGAGTTGGAGGTTGAGCGTCTATCTCGAGTTCTGTCTTGACGGTCAACACCGTTTCCTTCAAACTTCTTCGGCAGTGAAGTTGCCTTCAAATCCACGGCGTCATTCTCCATGATCTCGCCCTCGTCGGAACTCGACGCCATGTTTGCAATGCGATAGCAAGTGCGGTGCTCTTGAGCTCTAGTCTCGAACGTATGCCAACAAGCACGTTGCTTGTGTAAGGTATATTTTGCAGCAGTGATCCGCCAGAGGAAGGAATCCCCTAGGTCTTTTTGCGCGCAAGAAGCAGCAGCGACGTGTCAGCAGAGATCACCAGAAGATTGATGTGCGGCAGGAATTGTTTGCGAACCGGATGACTGTGTCGACTCAGCTCATGGGGGAAAAGATGGAAGCAAAGGCGACACTAGAAAACCAGAGGGCAATTCAAAGAGGGGGGAAAGGAGGATCAAGTGTCGTAATGCAATGCCAGGGAAGAGCAGTGTTGTTTGTGTCGAAGCGACTCGGTGCTTCCCAGCGATCAAGGGTCGACAGGTTGTGATTTTGGTAGTGACGAGACACTGGCGCCGCGCCGGAGAAACCAAGGTGGCACGGAACACAGCCGACCACACCGACATCGAGCTTGGAATGTTCCGTGGATGTCCCGGCTCCACCAAGCTGGGTCACGCGCTTATGGCGTATATGTGAATATTGCTCTCCAAAATTAATAAACCGTATAAAATCGTTATAACCAAGGACCCTTGACCGATTCGTCGAGGAGGGGCAATTTTCACCCCACGTCCGCCCGCCTCGCTGCGCCGCGCTTCTTCTTTCCTCTCCTTTTGACTTTACGACTGTGCAACATTTCCGACTCCAGACTCTGCCTCTTCGCCTCACCGTCCACCGCCCTCCCTCGCCCACAGCCGATCTTCAACCCAGTTCCTTCCTCGAAAACCTCTGCAAAAATGGGTGGTGCAAGCCGCGAAGGTAAGCAATCTGCCGTGCCGTCGCATAGGATGGGACAACCTTTTCTCGACGCAGTCCACGTGTTGCTGACAATGCTTTTCTCACAACAACAGGTGGCAAGGCCAAGCCTCTCAAGGCCGCGAAGAAGGCACAAAAGGACATGGACGAGGACGACCTCGCTTTCCTCGAGAAGAAGCGCGCCGGTAGGTCTCACACACATGCTGGCAGGACGGACACTGCATCCCCTCTCCCGTCTTCGAGTTTCTTGCAGATGGAGACTAATGCACGAGAATAGAGGAGAAGGCTCGCAAGGAGATGGCCGCCAAGGCGGGCGGAAAGGGACCTCTGAACACCGGTACCCAGGGCATCAAGAAGAGCGGCAAGAAATAAATCGACTGCTGCTTGGGCGGGATTACGAGATGACCAAAGTCAACGACCGCGCGCGCATACACACATTAAGAACGGTGCTTGATTTACGAAGGATCGGGCACGGAGGAGCGCTTTTTTTCCCTTTACATACCTACAATCAGCATGCAATGAAATGATATCAAAAGAGTTCTCGATCTTTGCCGAAATCGACATGGATGATGCCGGCTACCCTGACTGTTGTTATTCATGCTCCGAGGTCTTTTGAAGTATCAGATTGCAGTTGTGTTGACTCGGGACACGAAAGTCGAACTCAGGGTCTTCATTCTGCAGTTGCAGCGCAATACCCAAAAACTGGAACAGGCGGGGGGCTTTAAACAGTGGAAATGCGCCCACGGGTGTTTGTCGTCTTTTGCTACTCGTAGGAAAGATTTGCGCTCGAGAGTCACCTCCCGCAGAACCCACCGGCCCTCTCTTCTCCATCCAGTGCCCGTTTCACAGTCGATGCTCACGTCTGACTGTCCTGCACATGCTGACCTTGAACCTTTGAGGCACATTTACCTTATGTAAGGCAAATGTCCAAATGTCTCACCTGATGGGCTGATGCCCGCTCTCTCTTCCCCGGCGGATGGTCCAGTCTAACCGACGGGCCGACCGTTCAGCCCATTCTTTGCCCGGCCCCAGCTGGCGGCACGTGTGATGACAACGGCCTCGGATCCGTTCGGTGCGGACCGAAAAAAAAAACACATGAGGTGTCTGCTGTTGCTGCTAAGCAAATCTTCAAGCATGTGGACATGCAGATGCCAGCCGAAAAAAAAAGAGAGGAAATCCCAACAATTCCCATCCCAATCAAAATCAGGGCTCTGCTCCCTATTACGGATTTACCCCTGGCCTGACCCGCCGCCGCACACCCGGCGCTAGACGTCAATCCGTCATCGCAGCTGCAGTGCCTTACCTTATGTGCCTTTGTTGAACGTGCGCGCCCATGATATCTCAACGGCCTTTAAATGCTTAAAAAGGTCCAACACCACATGCCATTATAAACATACATTTTCTCTCGTGAACCGCGACGCATATAGACAAAAACAAATACCAGAGGGAGACCATCGACCTAAATAACTAACCACCAAGATGACAGCCCCAGAAACAGCCGACGACACAACCGGCCTCAGAAACCGCCGGCGCTCCTCCTCCTCCTCCCACGACACCACGACCCTCCTCTCAACAGTAGAATCCTCCGCCGCCGCCCTCGAACGCAAAGTCGAAAAGGCCCTTCTCGTCCTCTGGGACGACCTGCCCGCCTGGCGCCGCGACAACCAATTCATCATCACGGGTTACCGCCCAGACTCCAACTCCTACCGCGCCTCCTTCCGCTCTTTGGGCTACCTGCACAACGAGTCCGTCAACATCTGGTCCCACCTCCTCGGCGCCGTCGCCTTCGTGATTACGGGCGCGGTCCTGTACGCCGTCATCGCCCCGCGCTACGAATCGGCGAACGATGCCGACATGCTCGTGTTTGGGTGCTTCTTCGCCGGCGCCGTCGCGTGTCTGGGGATGAGTGCGGCGTACCACGCTATGAGCAACCATTCGCCCGAGGTCGCCAAGTGGGGGAATAAGTTGGATTATTCGGGGATTGTGTTTCTTATCGTGGGAAGTTATGTGCCGGCCATGTATTACGGCTTTTATTGCCATCCTGCGTTGCTCAAGTTTTACCTCACAACGGTACGTCTCACTCACTCATCCCTCACTCACACTTCACTCATCTCTCGTGATATAAACCGCCCCAAACACCAAATCTCACTAACACAACCTCCTAAGATCTGCCTCCTAGGCCTAGGTTGCGGCGCAGTCTCCTGGATCGAATTCTTCCGCGCCCCAGAATGGCGCACCTTCCGCGCCTGCATGTTCACCGCCCTCGGCACCTCGGGCGTCGTCCCCGTCCTCCACGGCCTGACAATCTACGGCCGTCAGGAGATGGAGGACCGCATGAGCCTCAACTGGGTCGTCCTGCACGGCCTCATGTACATTTTCGGCGCGTTTCTCTACGCCTTCCGCTGGCCGGAGCGCTCGTTCCCGCGCACGTTTGACATCTGGGGCAGCTCGCACCAGATTTTTCACTTTTTTGTGGTGATGGCTGCCGTGACGCATTTGTATGGTATGACCAAGGCTTTTGATTATCATCATACTGTTACGGGGGGCAAGTGTTTTTGATTAGAGGGTTTTGCAGGTGGTGGTAGATGGTGTAATGAGGTTCATGAGTCTCGGATACATGATGTCTTCTGCTTAATAGAACGTTTGTAATAGAGGGTATCATTCACACTTTTGCCTATTCCACCTGTGCTGCCATATTTTTGGGCACGTTCTCTCTCTAGCATTCCAACCCTAAATCAATGACCCTCACCAGACCAGACGCCATCGCAATAGCCGCCCAGCACGAGTACTCCATGTTCGGATTCCACGCCATCGTCGTGATCCGTGTCAATGGTTCCGAAATCACGGCACGCTCGGGATCAGCAAAGTGCCCATCAGCCTCCTCATGACCGCCCTGGACATCAGCATCGTCCTCCTCCCCAGCATCCGCCGCCGCCGCCGCAGCGCCCTTCTTGCCCTTTGCCTTCCCTTTGGCCTTGCTCTTGGCTTTGCCCTTCTTATCCTTCTTCTTGTTGATCGCAACCTTGGTCTTCCACGTGTCCACCTTAGGATTCACATTCGGCACCGGCCGGAACCCCTGCAATATCCTCGACGCGCCACGACACCGGTCCGTTGTGCTCCCGCCCTCGTGCGCGTTCACCATCTCCGCGTCGAGCCTCTCGCGCGGGACGTGCTGGTGGCCGAGGACCTTCATCTTGTGCCCAAAGTGATGCTTCGAAGCAAAGATGCGATTCGACGGGTTCGCAGCCCACACCGTTCCGTCGGTATACCCCACCAACACAAACGGATGCTGCGCGCCAACGGCGAGACACGTCGGAAGCCGGTCCCCATCCATAACCTTCCGCACCTGCGCGGCGTACCATCGCGCGTGGACGAACCCGACAGAGGCGTTGAGCGGGTTCGCGGACGGCACGGCGGTAAAGAAGCCGCGTAGGTGGTCGCTCCATTGCATGAGGTTCGGCTGCGGCGTAATGGCGAAGCAGGGGAAGCTGGTCCGCTCGCACGAGGGATCAGAGAGGTCTACGAGGGTGGTGTAGCCCGCGATCGGGGTCGATGCGACGAGGTACGGATCCGAGGGGTATGCCGTATCGAGGTGCATCACGTAGGTTGAGTGGACGTCGTGGCGTGCGAGGCAGATACGCGGAGAGATGGACCAGAGGGTTAGGGAGCCGTCTGAGTGGCCTAGAACGATGCGGTTTGTGTTGACCCAGGCGAAGCAACTTGCTGTCACGTTGGTTTCTGAGGAGACGCCGAGAGAGACGACTGTATTTTCGAGTTTTGCTGTAGGACTTATTAGTGCAAAGAACACAAGAGGTAGAGGGGCACATGATCTCACTGAATGCGTCCTCTTCTCGGTCGCCGATTTCCTTGACCGAGACGACGTGAACCTGTCCATCACCGCACAGTAGTGCAAGTAGGCCCAAAGAGCCGTCCTCCCTAAAAGACACCGGGCACCACTTGAGCCGCTTCACCCGGCTCCAGTCGACGCACAGGGTTCTGGCGAGGCGCGCAGGGCGTGCGGCAGGTCTCGAGACGCCGTCGCTATCCTTCTGCCCGCGAAGCTCCCATAGCTGCACGATGCCCTTCTTCTCATTATAAGCATCCTCGAAACCCATTTGATGATCGGTCAGCGGGACCATGGCGAGTGACAGAATCTGTGACTCCCCCTCTGTTCTCGGGGCCCAGTCCATTCCGATAACCATGCCACCGACATCGAACATCCACCCAGAAGACTTCTGCTCGTCGCCGGCGTCATTCGTCAAGACTTGCCCCATCTCGCCAAGCACGACGCTATCGTACGGCGGAATCTCGACCTCTTGCTGGTCCTGATACGGCCCGATCACAGTGACCAAGTGACCGCCCGGGTTCAACCGGTACCCCTCCGCTTCTATCGCCCCCATCTCCCTCTCGGCTTCGGTTACCCCCTTAGTGCCTTTCAGTCTCTCAAACCAGGTCTTCGCAGCGCGTTGCTGGTCTTTATTGAACCCCTCCCCAAGCCACGGACTAGGCACCGGATGCGCAGGCCCATCGGGCAATTTACTGGGCAGCACCGCATACCCAGCCCACCGATTCAGCAACCAACTCGCGACGCCAACAGCCTCCGCCTCGGGCCCGTAAAAGAAGTCGAGCACCTGGATCCGCTGGCCGCGCTTCAGCTCGCCGGTGTAGTAGCGCGTAGGCCGGCCGTCGGCGTGGTAGGTGTCGAGGGCGGTCATGTCTGTCGGGCGTTTCTTGATCCCGGCGGAGCTGGTGTAGGCGGGCCTCTCCTCGTCACTGTCATTGCCTCTTCTGCGTGACCCGTCATCGATGGCTAGGTTGGATGGATCTTCTGCTTCGAAATCATCATCGCCCCCGTCGACGTCCATTCGGTCGTCCTCATCATCGTCTTCCGGGTCCGGCGGCGGCGCCTCGAAATTTTCGTCTTCTGGGTCATCGTGGGCTTCTTCTGGCGGCTCGCCATCTGAGCCGTAGTCTATGATGGCAACGCGTTTGGTCTTGTTGCGGGGCCTTGTGCGCACCATGACGACGGAACGAGTGCGGTGTTTCCTTTGGGAGTGAAGTGGTTCAAGTTGAATTGGAATGAGACGTGAAGTGAAAAAAGAAAGTGAACCAAAGAAAGGTACGAGCCTCGGAAGCCGGCGCACTGTGCACCATGCGGGGCCGATTTCTGCAGCGGGACTTGCGGCAGGGACGGGGCGGAGAGATCCGCCCAAAGACTTGGGTCTTAGCGTCTCCGCCATGAAAAACACAGTGCCAACTGCCGACTGCTCACCTCACCTCATCATTCAACTCATCATCACATCTGGTGATGTGCCCAATCTTATTCATTTATCGAGTCATCGTCGAGCTATACGGATTTCTCATGAGACGTATTGAATGAAAGTAATCAAGGCGGTTATTGAGATACTGGCCTACAACACGTATCGGTGTCATCTTTTTAGCTAAGAGTTGCCCGAACTCGACGGTTACATCGATGCAGTCCTTAACACCAGCAAGTCCTCCTACATGGTGATCTCATTTATGGAGCTGTGATAACGTTTGAGATTAACAAAGCGCACTGAAACTGTTCATTTGAACGCTAAAATGTAAAATTATCGTAAGTATACCTAATGATTCACGACTCGGATTCACCCCAGCCAAAACAGATGGTGTCCTTACATGATGATGTGACTCCCTGATGTCTATTCTGGGATAGGTTTAGGCAAACAAACGGGCACTGGTATCAGACTGAAACCAATGAATGCCCATGTATGCTGTCAATTTCTCATATTAGGTTCCTGATCCTTCAAAGAGTCCCACGCTCCTTCATGGCAGGGATTCATGGGGACGTAGCTCCGCCACATCTGTATGGTACCCGTTCCTGTTCACTCAAGAGTCCTAGGCAATCAAGTGGGTGACACAATCATTTGCCGCTCTATGGGTATCCCAGTACCTAGCTCTTTTATGATTGTTATGATTCCTACTATTCCCCTTAAAAGCGTTATCTAATGGATGTATCGAAAATAAAGATAACAGAAATAGTAAAGATAGTAGAAACTTGAATAATATAAGAAGAGTAAGAAAGTCAGGGATAATAAGTGGGCAAATAGGCATCGTAGTCTAATGTTGACCAGCATCTTATTTGGTCACCCACTTGGCAACCTCGCTCAAGCCAAAAGTTTTAAACTCGTGATCTCCCCTTACTAGGGAGTCCTTCCAGACCAGCGCACCGTCTGTCACCGCATTGTTGAAGGCAAAAGTGGGAGTGAGATGAGTTCAGACATGACCTTTGCTATCGATGATGGAACAGCCTTCGCACCGACGAGTACAAATCTGGCATCAAATGGCATCAAATGGCGACCTCATCCTCATCGCTGGCCCATCTAGATATTATATCCGCGTCTATTATCTCATCTTCACCGATGACTCTCCCATCTTTGCCTCCAAGATACCAATAACAAACTAAAGCCACGATGCTGCGGTGTCAGATCTTCTACGCCTTCCCCTCCCAGACGACGATCCCAAGGCCATGGAAATCATGTGCCACATACTCCATGGCAACAGCCTGAATGCATACATGAGAGAAGTCCCGCCGAGTTTGATCATGGCTGCTGCCATTCTAGCGGCAAAGTACGACTGTATCCTCGCCCTCACGGTAGCTATCGAGTACTGGCTCTCGCTTGAGACCATGGTACCACCGCGCACTTTGGAGACGTACATCCGGAGAAGAAGGATCTCCTCCTGGCGGCCTACTGGTTCAGGCACGAAAGGGCATTTGAGGCGGGGTCACTGCGACTGATCACCGAAATATCATGGGGTTTCGGGTCTCTGGCAGGTGGGGGATCTGTAAAGGATGAAGTCGTCGCACTGAGGATCGCTAGTGAGCTCTTCTATACCCTATCTTCACTCCATATCTCATCCACGGCTAACAGGACATTTCAACTAACACGAAGAGCAAATAGTCGCACTGTAGCAGAAACGCAATGAAGTCCGTCTATCTCTCTACACGTGATGATGAAGCAGATCCACGCAATACCTTACTGCCAATGCAACACCCGCAAGCCAGCTCCTTGGTCAAGGCGGCTTCTCCGACGTGACGAAGACACAGATCGGGTCACGACTGCCGCCACGTCTTCAGTCCTCCGCAACGTCCAAATAGAAATCCCATTGAGGGGCACACCGCATATATCTATCAGTTCGATGAGACTAGCCGATGAGAAGATGTCAAAGACGTTGGAGTGGAACCGCGTCGGACAAAGTCACGTGTCGGGCCCGCCCTTGGGGCACCACAAGACGTTCATGAAGTGTACCCCGAGCCAATTCAAGAAGAGCGGGATGCTTGAGGGTCTTTGCTTGGCCTGTCTACATCCGCAGATGGTGTGCGGGGACCTAGCGGTACAAGAAGAGGGAAACGAGAGGGGGCGGGTATTCAGAGAGTGGCTTCCGAGCGACGTTCATTGACAGCCCAGTATCCGTAATGTGACCGTAATTCGAGACTGGACAAGCTGCAACTCATTCCGAAATGGGGCGCGAGTGGGCACATTTGCGTCATGGTTGGGAACTACATGCATATGGAGCGGGGATAGATGAATGCAGCCAAGGTTGGAATCAGCCGTAAAGCCAAGCGCGGCGAGCATGAGTCTCACGATTGGCCATCTTTATCAAAATGTAGAGGCAATATCGAAGTCGCTGCCTTCGCCCGTATGGAAACATTCCTGATAGTAGGTTCTGGCACGAAAATGAGCTTGTCCCCTGCCAACGCCTCGACTCGTAGTTTCTGCTCGCTCGTGTAAGTCACGAAGAATGGAATGAACAGGCACTATCATAAAGCATTTGATTAGGCACTTACGTTGAAATGTTCTTTTCGGACTGAAATGCTCATGCAAGGCGTACATGGTGGCTGCAGTGATAAGTCAATATTGTCTGCTGCGCGTCGCCTCATTTGGCCTTTGCGCCACAGCATCACTAGCTTCTGTATGAAAGCGCATGCCCGATGATGCGTGTCTCGAAGAGGGAAAGACAGCGTAAATTGTGAAAGCCCTGCCGTGGACTGGTGCAGAATCCTTGGGCTGTAACAGTCTCGGGAACTTAACACCTCTTCTCTAAGACAAGTTGTCGGTCTTAGTTTGAGCCCAATTGAATGATCCTTGTCTATAAATCAGACTTTTGTTTACTTGCCAAACATTCATACCGTAATCTTCAATTTTCGTGTATCTCGATCAGCCCTAAACGCCATGATTTCTCAACCTGAACGACCTGTCGAGGCCATGGACCGGAATATTCACGAGCCATCTCAACCGGCCGTGGACGAGTCTGGCGGCATTCCACGATCCACGGAACTAATTACTAACCAATACTTGGACTCCAAGCGCACGTCAAAGGATACGACTAGCCAAACAGAACTGTCCTTGAGGTATTTACTGTCAACTATGGCGAGTCATCCGCATCCCAACACTGAGCCCGATCTCAATACACTTCGCAAGCTGTTCAATACGCATAAATCACAAGTCAACGCCCAAGACGACAACAACAAGACAGCGCCTCTTCACATTGCGGCTAGACGTGGCCTTGTCGATGCCGTAGAAGAGCTGCTCGAGGCAGACGCTGAGCTTGAAGTTCAGGACAGCCGTAGCTCGACGCCATTACTGACAGCCACCGTGTACCGGCAAGTGGAAGTCATGGCCAAGCTTCTCATGCCTAGATCAAACGATGAAGGCTATGTCAAGTCTCAGCTCGAGATACGAGGCGATCGAGGATGGAATCCCCTCTTATGGTCAAGCATAAAAGGCTTCTCAAAGGGTGTGAAGCTACTGATCGATGCCGGTGCAGACTGCAACGCCAGAACTCGTGACACCTTATCGACGCCTTTGATTACGTCTAGTAGCTGGGGTCGCGAGGAGGTAGTCAAAGTCCTTCTCGACACCAGAAACCCCCATACCAATTACGTCCACGAATGTGTCGATCTCAATCTTCAAGATGCGGATGGGGGTACTGCGCTACATGCAGCGGTAATTGGGGAGCATGAAGAGATTGTCAAGTTACTGCTGACTGTGAAGGCCGATCCGACTCTCTGGGATCAGGACGGCCAGGCCCCTTTGCACATTGCTACGGACATGGGCAGCAAATGCTTGATCGAGTTGTTAGCAGATGTGGATGTCAACGTTACTGACGCATACGAACAGACGGCCTTACATTTAGCTAGTGAACGTGGCGCTGCTAGTATGGCTAAGTTGCTTTTGATCAAGCAGGCTAACATACATGCATTGTGCAATTTTATGGAGTAAAAGGGGTCTCCGGAACCTTTCAAGTCAGGAGATCAATTCGCGAGGTTATATACGAGACTGGCCCAAAAGGAATTATGCGAACCTGGACAGCCATGCAAACAGCTGTCGCCAATCTCGGTGGAACTGTTAGTGAGGCTGAATCTGTCTGTGATTTCACGTGGGTACACCTACCGGCTACGAATGTGAGTAATACCTTTGTAAATGTGGAAATGTCTCAATCAATTTTCTAATATGAGATAGATGGATTGGATGAACGTAAGTACCACTCTCGGCAATAATTTCTAACCTTCATACAAAGACACGTGCGCAAAAGCAGCCAAAGTTGACAAGTCTCACAGGACCTTTTGGAGAGAATTCTCAAGGATGAGAACTGTTGTCCTCGCCATTATTACGAAGCCAAGTCGTTCTTTCAAGACAGCTGGCTTGAGGTACCAGACAGAGTATCAGAGTCGAGAATGATGAGACCGCGGACCGTACTGAGACGGGCCGAGAAGTTGGAAACCCGCCAACAAGACAACGGTGAGGGAGTAGACATGCAAGAGAATGCAAATATCAGCAGAAGCCGACAAAGACAACGTACGTTTCCAGTAATGGGTATAGAAGGCGATCAGTTGGAAGAATGTGAACGAGAAAAAAGAAGTAGAAGGGAGCGCATAAACGGGAGCGAAAGGGAGACAAAGAGATGTGGAAAGATTGATGCGACATCGAGAGACAATTGCTTCGAAGTAAACGATCCTAAATTCTTGGCGGCATCGGCGATTTACGTAAGTCTCTGAAACCCATCAACAAAGTAAAGAGGCCACATCTAATGTGTAATTTCAGATGCCCTATTTATGCTTGTCCGTCAATTTGGACGAGGACCATGACAACTTCAAAAAGGCAAAGAAAGACTACGAGAGCTTGCTGGCAGCCTATCCGACGGAGTCGATTGTTCACAGATCACCGACCCTTGATGAATGGTACTATCACTTTGCAGAAGACCAGAGGGAAGATAGAAATCATCGCAACGCAAGCCAGGTCACTACTCGTTATTTAGAACAAAGTAAATTTCTGGGGCAAAATGGACAGAAAAAGAGATCTTCCGAGACTTCCAGCCTCTCTGATGACCTGGCATTGGTACGTGTCAATCAGGTATGGATTTGGACGATTAGCAACAGTAAGTCAAAATATGCCTAGCTTTCGTTGTAACTTTACTCAAGATAAATACCCTTTAGAATGGCTCATCACCGCAAATTCATGCTTGTTTGACGAAAGTGGCGACGCTCTTGTGCAGGGAATTCTTGACCAGCTTAGCAAACAAGCAGAATATGGCGGTCGCAAGTCTCAACCAGGATCAGCAAGTGAGATGGGCAAATTGATTATTGAATACTGCATCGGTTCATACGAGAGAAGGCCCGAATTTGAAGGGCAAGCGGCAGAAATTATTACCAATGTTGCTGCTTCCGTGGACCAGCAGGAGCCTTCGTCAGTGAAGCAACTGTCTATCGGTCAAATTTACTCAAATCATATGAACAAAGTGGTAAAACTTGTCCTTAATCAACATATCTAGTTAGGAGTCAACAACTAATGGGTTGCTAGAGTCGGGATGAAACGGCGCTTTTCGAAGCCATCCAGAACTGGAAAAAGACTGGGCGGTCCAACTACCTGCGTGATGCACAACCAGAATCAGGAAAGGCTGCCTCAGAATCCAAAATCTTTAGCAAGGACTTACCTAAAGCCCTAAACGGTACGCCAGTCTACGATGATATTGAAACTACGATCCAGAAGGCATACACTCTGTCCAGTGATATCAAGGATGTCCGTGACGAATTGAACATCCTCAAGTCGGTTGCACAGTACCAGGAGATTGTTCAGAAGGGCATGAAAGATAGCCCAGTGAATGATGGAGAGCTGTCTGCAGCCTATGTGGTGAATAACATCAAAGAAATGGATATTGTCGCAGACAGAATTCAATCAGCGGTTAGTCCAATACCAGGTTGCGTCTACGCTTTTCCCTGATTGCTGACTGCAAATGAGTGGAAAGATCTACATGACGCTCTCCCTCCAACAGAGCGAAATTGCCAACCGCAACGCAATCTTATCAGTCCAGCACGGGAAAGTTCTCATGATCTTTACCTTTGCTACCCTCCTGTTCGTAAGTTTTATAGACCAAGCGCAGATTAATCAATTTTCCCGCAAACTAATTAGTTCATAAAGCTCCCTCTGTCGTTCCTCTCATCTCTGTTCGCCCTAGATGTCTCTTCCTTTCTTCAAACGCCTAGTTGGGCTTTTGTAGTACTATGTGAGTTTCTTGTAAAGTTTGCCCTTTCCCAACACCAATCACTAAGACATGAGGGTATAGTTGTAGTATCCATCGCCGTCTCTGTAGCAGTGGGTTTCGTTGCATTCTACGCAGAGGATATCAGGAAAAGCTTTGTCGGAGTGTGGAAAGAACTAAAGGTCCAGCTCAGACTCCGGCATGAGGCTCGGTATAAGGCCCGACGCGAAACCCAGCGTGAAGCCCAGCTTGAGGCCCAGAGTACGCCCGGGAGTCGCCTTCGGGATGAGAATTCCACGTACTAATTAGTAATGATCTTTCAAAACCTCTGTGATAGAGAGGAGTCCCAGGTGCACTATGGTCGCCTTCAACCTCTGTGGCCTACACCTATCGTCAAAGGCAATACGCCCACAACCCAGTGGTACTAGTTGTGACGAGAGTCGATACATTGGATGCAACACATTCCACGAGTTGAAAACATAGTGCAACGACCGAGTTATTACATCATCCATATGTGGTCTCGTGATGTGTCTGATTTCCCTCCAAAGCCGAATCCCACTAAGCACGATACCCAATCAAATCGAGCCAGAGGATGCGCAAGCAATTCATCCTGAGGACGACTCCTGTGATTTTGAAGACAACTCAACCGCTTTCGTGAATTGCGGTTTGCTATGCCTGCGCCCCATGGGCTGATGCTAATCATCCATCACGCTCGCTATGATGCCATTCCCATGGGCCAATTTCTAGGTGCTCTGGAGAATGCCTACGCTGAAACAGCTATCTTGGCCAGGCAGCAAGCTTCGCCGTGTGGTCGGCGCACGGCACCGATTCTGAGAGTAGTCGAGTCGCAAGGTTTCTGTAAGAAATGTTGAAGATACCTAGTAACGCCTATCGGGAGCGCGGCACGCGTGGCAAGCGCGGGTGTAAAGGTAAGCCGGGAAGATTGGCCCACGAAGCTCGGTATCGGATCAAATCCTTAATTACGTTAGAAAGATCGCGAGGTACCAAGGTGTTCTGAGAAGGAGAGCAAAAATCTTGATTACTGTAATCTATCTAGAGTTTGACCTAGTGATCTGATGTCGGCTTGTTCGGATGGATATGCTACCTTTGCGAAGCCTAAACCTACCTATAACATCCTTAGTATATAAAACCTCACTAAGCATCTTCAACAGTTTTGTATATGGTAGACTTTCGTCAATGTTGGTGTCCTTGATTCTCACCCACCCGCTTGCGCATCATGCGCTGCATTCGACATCTCGGACTCATCTTTGCGGGCTTCACCGCTGCACTTGTCCCATTACCTATAGGTGGAAAACCTCGTAGTAGCTATGTCATTGAATATGGCGTTACGACGGAGAGCGTGCGGTACCTTGTCTGTGGGACATTCCATGACTGAAGGCGCTAACATATGACAATAGCCTGAAGGTATGCCATTGACCATCGAGACTGGACTTCGAGAATACGGCTTCCACTGCTCCGTCAGTAGTTTCCGCGAGTACAACTCGAACATTCTCCACGGAGCCTCTTTCTCGCTGAAATGCGGCGAAGGAGTGGCTCAACTCCACCAACCATCACTGAATACTATCGCTCGCGCCACTGATGCCCGGAATGTATGGCGCCTTCCCTCCCAAGGGGGGTTGGTTGAAGACCCAAGAACGTTGAAGCAACAGGAACTCCCACATGGACAGCAAAAGTATCCAGAAACAAACGACGTGAAGCGCAGAAGCGTTATGCAAGAAAACCTCGACAGCACCAGCATCGCCTCGAAGTCCGCGCTGCTCCGGGCTTCGCACGAGGACACTGGTGTCTTGCGCTTACACGAGGAGAATGTAACTGGCGCAAACGTCCGTGTTGCCATCATGGACGCTGCGATTGATGTGACTGCACCCGGCCTGGTTGAAACGAACATCGCATACACCGCTAACTTGCGGACCGGCGCCAATAACTCAGCCGGGAGCTGTGACCCGCACGGCACCGGGAATCTCGGCATCGCCGGCGGGAAGGGCGATCCTCTATGGGGTTATACTGGTGTCGCACCGGATGCCATCTTTGAAGCGATCGCCAACTCTGACTGCGTCAACCCCATTAACGGGGACGACCAGGTGAATGACTTCCTTCATATGTACGAGCGACACCTGGACATCATTTCTATTCCTTACAGTTACGAGTTAGAATATCCTGAAGGTAAGTGGTGCTTGTTCTGTATAGTCCGACAACTGTTGCGTATCCATCCGCCTACTGATTGACCGCGTTCGCTTGCTGACTACGAGGCTAGCCCCTTGGCCCGCGTTGATAGAGCGTATGTTTAACAACGGTACTCTTGTTACTACTGTTGCCGGCAACACCGGTCCGGGGCTGTACTCGATCAGAGCCCCCACGGCGAGTCGCGGTGGCATGGCTATCGGTACCTACGACACTTCCCTTGTTCCGGTCTACACATGGCAAGGAAACTGGACAGCAGGCGGTGAGACTGGCCCAGTGTACTACCACCCGAGTGATCCCACCGATACTCAAATATTCGACATGCCCGCCCAGGCCAACTTGACATTGTGGTGGCCTGGCGCTTTCGACCCTGCAGCTCTTGAGGGACCCCAAGATATTGTGTCTCCTTGCCGACCTCTTCCAGCCGGCGCAAAACCGCCCTCAGATCCGGCAACAACTATTCTTCTCCAGTCTAGGTACGAATGCTGGAACGACGCAAACGACACGTCCTTGGATATCACCACCAAGTATGGAATACCCTATGTCATGGGTTACGCCCCCAACTATGCCATTCACGCACTCAGCATCCCCCGCATGGGTAGTACCAATCTGAGCCCTTCTATACGTGCAGCAGTTAATATCGGTTTCGATGAAGCCTCAAAACTCGTATTGCTACTCGCAAAACACGGCCGCGTTGATCTCTCCCTGACCGGCGATCCATCTTCAGCCAATATGAACCTCGCCTTCATCCCCAACAACCAGACGGGTCTGACACCGTCATCCTGGACAACCTGGGGTCCGGCCTTGGATACACATATGGGCGTGGCTGTTCTTGGACCATCGCAGTACGTCGCCATGCCGTTCCCCGCGCGCCTCGGTGGCCTAGGCGTGTGGGCCGGGACCAGCTTCTCAACGCCGTACCTGGGCGGCGTCGCCGCTCTCGTAAAGTCTGCTCATCCCGAGTGGTCGCCGCGCCAGATTCGCAATGCTATCGTGGCAACGGCAGATCCTGTTAACTATAACGACGGCATTCCAAACTTCAAAGTTCATGATATCAAGGCCCCGGTCCAGCAGCAAGGAGGTGGAAGGGTCGACGCCTGGTCTGCTGTAAGGAGCGCCACGACTGTCAACGTGACGGAGCTTGCTTTCAACGACACCGATCACAGACCGCCGTTCCTAAGTTTCACACTCACAAACACTGGTGTCGAGGAGCTCACCTATCAACTGGATCATGTACCAGCGGGTTCAGGTTACGTGATCGATCCTGCGGCCCTCTACACCTTCTCATTGCCAAGTATCAGCGATGCCTACGCTAGCGTATCGATTTCTCCCAAAACTCTGACTCTAAAAGGCGGCGAGTCTGCGTCCGTGGCAGTAACGATCCTCTCCGAACCCGACTTGGCCGATGCAGCAAGTCGGCTATCCTTTTTTGGCGGTTACATCGCAGTCCAATCATCAGCCTCGGAGGCAAATCTTCTGACTGTGCCTTATACTGGCTATGGAGGATCGCTGCTGAACTTACCCATCATTGATCGGACTCAGACTGAATTGATTGGAGTCAGGCTGCCGGATTTCGCATTCATCGATGTTGAGCCCGGAAGGATATTCAATGCCACATACAACGCCAGCGTCGGTACCGACGAGAACCCCATCACCTATCCTGACGGCGTATATCCCGGATTTGCCTTTCAGCAAGTTGTGAGGAGCAGGCTAGTCACTTATTCCATGGTGAACACCAGGACTGGCGAAGCACCATTCCACAACGACACCGTCGGAACAGACGCGGAGCCAATGACTGCAGCCTGGTTTTGGGGCGGCTCAGAGGACAACAGAACCTTTGTGCCGGCTGGAACCTATGTCTGGGAGGTACTCGCACTACGGATGAATGGTGACCGTGAGAACCCAACACATTTCGAATTATGGAGGTCAGACGAATGGAGTTTGGCTTACAGTCTGAACAGTACTGGCTTGCCTACGGTATAATGCTTCTATGGAGCATCAGGTAGACGGACAGAGTCTCGTGCATGTGCCTCTTCTCTTAATGGAGTTTAATATAAGGCTTTTGCTTCTTTGTTCCGTCTATAATGTTGAAGAGGTAGAGCTTCGAGGTGGAACAATCGAAGTGGTTCTTTCGAGCTCTCTCGAGCGGAAAGACTAATGGCCGACAAGGCTTGTGGGATGGAGGCAAGACCAAAATCTGCGTGGAGCTAATGGCCGCGATATCTCGGCATATAAGGTTCTAAAATGGTGAAGGTCGCCTTGCTATGAATGGCAGGTATCGTAGTCTTCATCACGACAAAAAGCTCTCACAAACCTGACTTCGGGCATACCCAGAAGCGCCTCCCTCACAAATCTGTCTTCGACATCCAAAGCCGCTGCCCTCGCAATGCGTTTCTTCGTCTCCGAGGCTTCCAAGTCTCTCATCACCATCGCAACGCCCTCCCCTGGTCGTAAATCCTTCGTTTCTTTGCCCTCTTTTCCTGGTATAGACGCCCCAGCCTGAGCCATAACCCACCCCCTCGCAACCTCACTCGCCCAAGTACCATTCAACCTCCTCATCCACTTGTCATCCCTCACAGCCCGTCCAACCCTCTCCGTCCCGCTCCTGGCCCAGAGCTCCAGATCAAACTCCAAAAACACCGGGTTCCGCCACCCAGAGCCCAGCACGCTCTTCACACGCGCAATCTCATCCGCGTCCTCCAAGTCCGTAACGACGATAGAAGTCTCAGCTTCGCCGCCGCCGCCGCCGCCAAACATACATCTGACGGCGTCCCAGCCATGCGTACTACACCGCACACCCAACGCATCAAACTTCAAACTTACGCGCTTCACCAGCGCCCCGCGCTCGAATAGACGGGCATACCACTCCGCCTCAGCGCGACCAACAAGCACATGCCGCGCCCTCTGCACGAGATCCCTGATCCCTCGCGGCTCGTCTCCCTCGACGTCAACCCAGCTGTCCAACTCAAGCACGTCGCGGTCCCCGTCAAACCAATAACACCGCGTCCTGCCTCCTTTACCCGTCTCACTCCCTTCATACGTGAGTCTCGCCAGCGCCCCATGCTTCGTCGCCACGGCCCGCGACTCACGACACGCTCCGGCGATGGCGGGCGGGCGTAAAAGCGGCGGTGACGAAGATGATTTGTTCGACTTGGTTTTCTTCCCGTCCCGTGCGTCTAGACGGAGGACGCGTGAAGGTACGGCGACGAGGGACCAGACTCGAAGTCGTAGTTCGGGAGGCAGCTGACGGAATTGCGGAAAGGTTGGGTGTTGCGGCGGCTGCGTATCGTGGTGGGAGAGCATTGTTTCCATCGTGGCGAGGCGCTTTTCTAGGGCTGTCTGAGACTGTGCTATTCTCTCGAGCAGGTGGAGGGTTTGCTCCCGGAACGTATTCACTTCCATGATTTTGTTCGAATTGAACTGATAAAGAAATGTGCCCCCTAATGTGTGTGTTCAGCAGTCGGTTTTCGCAGCTAATCAATAAGAGAGAATTTGCGTGGCTCGTGAGAACTTCAACCGGCGACGTCTCTAATAAGAACATTACGAGTCCCAATCTCAAACTCACCGCCAGCAGCCGGAAACCGCGGGAAGTCCATTCTTTTAACATCACCTCACCATCTGAACATTTGAACACAATAAGAGCCGTATTCGCATCATCCCCCCGCCTCAAAAAGTCTTGGCTTTCCTCCGGCGGCCGACCTGCACTTCGTCTGGTGTTTACTGTGCGGTTTGTCAGTCTGCAAAAGCATGCAAGTCTCGTAGGTAAGCATCTTGGTAAGCGTTGTAAGCAAGTCCGGTCCCCGACTGTGCATGTCAGTGCGGAGACTTGCTTCATTGAGCGGACAGGGGTACAATCAGCTAGGATGGCTCCAATTGGACAAGTCCGTTTTCGGGGGACCACACGGATGGGAATGAGGCTTGCACAGTAATACATGAACAATCCTCATCCTGTGCTCCATAGGCTCCTTGCCTCGGAGGATCATCGTGAAGCTATACTTTTTATTTTGTTGTGATTTTACAGCTTAAAGTCGGCATTATTCTTCTCCCAGCCCCTCGGAGTCTCCTCTAGATCGGTCACCTTGTCAACGAGCCTTACCTTGAGGTTCCGGTTCCGCTCGGTGCAGAGTTCATAGGTTGTGCTGAGGTTGAAGAGCAGAGTGTGCGATGAGTAGCCGGACCCAACCATGTCCTCAAAAATGGCTCGTGCCTGATGTATGCCTCGTTGTCAGCCGTCTTTTTCATGTTTGAGTTGTCATGAAATGTGTGTCATGAAATGAGACCTCAGGTAACAACACGAGAACGAGAAAAAAAGACTCGAGAAGAGAAAAAAAAAGAAATAAAAACTCACCTCTGTCAACTTGCCAGTGTAAAGAAGACACACCGCCATGTTGACACCAACCATCTCGTCCGCAACTTCCTCCCTCAGCCCTCTCCACGTCGCAAGCGCCGCCTCGTACTCCCCATCAGCCATCTGACAAAGCGCGCTCACAACCGTCTCAGCATGCTTGCCCTCCTCCCCAGAACCCTCCCCTCGCACGATGCACCGCCGCGCCGCGTCCGCATCCCCCAAGTGAAGCCAAAGCAGAGCCCTCGACAGCGCCATCTTGCCGTCCCCGCGGTCCTTGAGCGCGGCCAAGTGATGCGCCGCGCCAGCGGGATCATCCATTTCCACCAGCGCGCCCGCGACAGCAACACCCAGATCCTGCAGCCGCGCCTTCCAGAGCTCCCTCGCCGAGTTATCGTGCCGCGCCGTCGCCTTGCTGATCTGCTCGCGCGCCTCCCGCGCCAGGTCGTGGTAGCTCATGACGGACCTGCGCGGGTCGCTGAACCCGAGGGCCTGTAGCCGGACGTTGAGCACGCGCAGCTCCCAGGGGACGAGGTGCTCGCCCGTCGTCTCATCAATGTAGACGCCTGCATTCAAATCTTCCAGCGCCCTTACCTCCTGCGCCGCTACCGCCGTTGCGTCGATGAGCGTCAAGCACGCCAGCCGCGTGTACAGCAGGCTAAAGATCCTCTGATGGTCCGACGGAGCGACCCGAGGCCGGTCGGGGCTGCCTGTGGCTGTCAGCTCCTGGACCGCGGCGATGGCGGCGGCGCGGAAGTGGCCCTTTGCTAGTAGGTCTTCGAGCGGAGCATCGGCTGGCGGCTGCTTGGACGAGTTCCTGAATGCGACCGGGACGTTGACGGGTTGGATGGTATGGTAGATCTCGGGCCGCAGGAGGAACCCAAAGTCCTTGGTGACGGTTGTCTTTACGGGCGGTGCTGCGGGAGAGTGAGGCAGCGCTGGCGAGCGTTGTCCTGATATCGGGCGCGGCTGCGTCGTGTCTTCTGTGGCGGCCGCTTTTGGCGACAATGGATCATTCAGAGGGGTGCTTGAGAACCTGTTAGAAAAGATAGATATTCCAAGACATGACATGGACTGAAACTCACTCATCCAAGTCGAGCGGACCCTTAGTCGAGGACCGTGGACGAACCGCTATACGAAAAGTATTAGTGAAGATTCGGTGACACTTCGTCCCTCATTCTCAGTCTCATTCATGAGATATGGGGGCCATAGCTTCTGCCAGAACCAGGGTGATGAGATACACCGAGAGTGAAAAGAAAGCGGGCTCTGAGATTTGTGGAGGTTTGCCATGGTGAATGATAAGCACTTACGCCTCGTCACTGATATGTTTCGTCCATGTCCGCGGTTTATTGGAGGTTGGCTCATCGTATTGAAGGGGTCGAGGGGATCTCAAAGATGGTGTTGCAGTGAACATACAGTATTACTATGGACCTGGATGAAGCTCTCAAGGTCTCGAAGCCAGGTGGTCTGTGCTGCGGTCGCTGAGAAGCTGGGCCGGGGGGACCCCCCTTTATGCGATTAAGGGGCACGGGCACAGGCAGTCAGGAAACAAGCACATGGCTCTCTTTAATCAAGTACTTCATATGCACAACATTCATTGTTGCAGTATTTCACCAACGGTCTCACACATCTCACATCTTATATCTGCAGCTTATGGTGGCAAAGGACTTCTATTAGCCGGCAGTGATATCTAAACCGAAAAGGCAGAGCTTTTGACCATTCCCAATATCTCAAGTTTCCATCAGATATTCGTTCTCTAACCCTTGGCAGCACCGGCCTTGATGAGCAAGATGTCTCCATCTTCCACAACGTAGTCCTTACCCTTCGTCATAACCTTGCCCTTGGCCTTGACCTCGGCTTCAGTGCCGAGCTCCTTGAGCGTGGTGAAGTTGTAGACAAGGACTTGAATAAAGGTCTTTTCAAAGTCGGTGTGAATGACACCGGCAGCCTGGGGCGCCTTGGTGCCGTTGCGGAGAGTCCACTGGCGGACTTCGTCCGTGCCGGTGGTGAAGAAGCTGCCAAGGTTGAGGACCTTTCGCATCTGAAGAACGATCTTGGGCAGAGCGGACTCGGCACCAACGTTCTTCTGCTCCTCCTTGGACTCAGCCTCAGTCTCGTAGCGGGTCAAGCGCTCCTCGAAAGAGACGGAGATGGGGATGATGGGGTCGCCTTGAGCGTGCTCCTTAACCCACTCAGCAACCTTGGGAAGGTACTTGTTCTTCTTGCGAATGAAGTCCTTCTCCGAAAGATTGACCAAGTAGACGACGGGCTTGGCGGTGAGGAGGAACAAGGGGTTGATGACCTCGATCTATTGTTTTTGTCAGAAACGGTTCCCTCTCATAAGTGTTTTGCGATGAAATTGTATGAGGGAGATGTGTCAAATCAGAATGGGTTTTTTGTCTCAATATGCCGTAGCATTCGAAGAGCTGGGTTTATAGTTCGGATCTTAGATCCTTTGTCATCATGTGACGAGAGGCGTGGGATGAGGAAAAGAAATGTAGTTGTCAGTCTTACTTCCTTGGGGCCCCAGGTACCCTTGCGGACTTCATTGCCATCCTTCAAGTGCTGAAGAATCTTCTCAATGGTAGCCTGCTCCTCCATGGCCTTCTTGTGCTCGAGGCCCTTGCCGCCAGAGCGAGTCTTCTTCTTCTGGTTCTCGAGGGCCTTCTCGGTGAACTCAATATCCTTCAATCGCAGCTCGTCGCTGATGATGTCGAGATCACGGGTAGGGTTAACGTCACCCTCGACGTGGATAATCTCGGCATCGTCGAAGCAACGGACGACCTGGAAGATGGCATCGACGGCGCGAATGTGCGACAAGAAGGCGTTGCCGAGACCGGCACCAGTGGAGGCACCTCTTGTCAGACCAGCGATATCGTAGACCGTAAGGTTGGCAGGCACGCGCGACTTGGGGTTGTACTTTTCGCAAAGCCAATCATAGCGCTCATCGGGGACGATGACACGTGCCTCCTCAGGGTCGATGGTGGCGTAGGGGAAGTTGGCCGGGTTTCCCAGGTTGCACTTGGTAATGGCCTGGAAGAGGGTGGACTTTCCAACGTTTGCAAGGCCAACCTGAAGAGAAGAGAAGGGGGGTCAGCCTGATCCCGGACAGGTTCTAAGGCCAAGGCGAAAGCGAAGGCTCAAGGCGCAGCACCCACAATTCCACTCTTCAGGTTGTTACCGGGCCTGCCCAGGAGGATCTTCTCCTCGACGACTTGCTTCTTGGGAGGCATTGTGCGTCTTGATTTTGCGTAGTGACGTGTGGTGGTGTAGAGTAGAGTGCAGTGAAGCACTTGAGCTTGGCGAAAGGCAGAGCTAGCTGCGCGGGGTAGCAAAGAGGGAGATTTAGAAGTGAAGGAAGAAGGGAGGAGGATGAAGGACGTCGTTTTGGCGACTCTTGGCTGTGTGACCAGCCCTCAATCACGCGGATTTGCCCGACGACTCAGAGAGCAGAGCGGTAGAGAGAGAAGAGAGTAGAAAGAGGAAGAGAAACCTCGGAGGTTGTTTGATCGAGAAGAAAAAGCTTTCGCGACAGAGGTGTTGTGGCCGGCCTTGTTAGATGAATTTTAATGTGCCCCACCAAAAACGGGGCCCAGGTACCTGAAGGGGGCCAGCTTCCCTCCCGGCGTTTCTGTTCCGCCGTCGCGCCGCCACCACCTGAATCTGGAAGGCGCTGACAGCACCACTGAACAGTGGAAGCAAGGCAGGAACGATCCCAGCAACCATGCAACCAAGCTGGGAAGCTCGAAGCCCGAAAGAAGCTGGAGGAAAGCGCGGGGCTGGGAGCCACCTCTGACCTCATTCCTTGCATACCATTGGATCGCGATTGGCTCAACCCGCTTGCAGTGAAGAGTACTTGTGCATCCCGCAGAGCACCACTTAATTTCTGTGGCACAACTCTGGCTGCCCATGTACTTGACCTTGCCTTGAAGCTCAACCAGCAACCTCCAGGCTCCTTGAGGTTGTTCAATGCAGCACTTTGCCTTTCTGCTGACGCCCGCTTTCTCTACGCCGAGCACCGCCCGAGCCAAGCCTAAGGAACCTAAGCTACCTTACGAGACCTGCCTCGAGGTTCTTTGCCGGGTGCATTGCGTTTGCTTCCGTCTCCTTCTCGTCGCGAGTTCCGTCCAACGTTTCTGTTCATTCTGCAGCCAGCCTCATTCATTGTCTTTGTGTCCTTCTTTCACTGAAACACCCTCCATATCTCGTGTCCTAGAAAGCATCTCTTAAGCGCATTTATTCCCCAGACTGGCCCTGTTCCCCGTTTCGTGCATCGTCTCATCTTCTCCAACAACGCCGCGCCCCTCCCACCCGACTCGCAGCTGCCCGGGCTCTCACGACGTAACCTGGAATACGCCAAAAAGGCAGCAGCATCTGCAGCCTACAAAAAACACCTCACCCGACAACTTGCAGGGGAAAAAAATGCCTCCACGATCGAGCAATCCCAGGCAGAGTACCGCGTCGCATAGGTCGACATTGTCATTATCCAAAACCGAAGTCACAATCCATGTCTATGATCTGCTACCTGTAAGTTGCTCGGACCCACCGAACCGACAGCTTGGTTCCGTCACCGCCAGCCCAGCTAACAGAAAGGCTGCAGCCAGGTCGCCTATCCTCTGTTCTTTGGACATTTGGCGCGTCACTACTGCACTCGGGTGTCGTGATCAATGGCAGAGAGTATGCTTACGGCGGGCACGAACGGCGAGGTGTGACGGGAGTATACTGGACAAAGCCCAAGACGGAGCCCCCCGGCGGCACTTTCAAGTCCGAGATCCTCCACGGCTTTACCTTTGCAACCCAGGCTGAGATCGACGCGATTCTGGAGGAAGCCTCGAGAGACTTCCTCGGAACCTCCTACAACCTCTTGACGAAAAATTGCAACCACTTCACTTCCTATCTCTGCAGAAAGCTTACCGGCCGTCCCGGTCCCGGCTGGCTGAACCGTGCGGCAAGCATCGGCGTCGCGTTACCCTGCGTTGTCCCTAGGGACTGGATCGACCCACCCGAGTACGATACCGCCGACGGCGCACTTCTAGAAGAGGAGGAGGACGACGATCGTGCTCACGAAGGCTCTAGGATGCTGAAGCAATCGCCGCCGAGATTCCTCACCGAGAACTCCAAAGATCAAGCAGAGGACGCCGATTGGGATAGCGAGGAGGAACGACGCCGCGGCGGCAACGGTAAGGGCAAGAAGGCCGTACGGGATACTGCGGGTCGGGATCTACCTGCTGCCGAAAGGGCTCCGGCTCGAAAGTAGAGCTCGTCGTCGATGCTCTACAACTAGGTATACGGCATGTTTTGGCGTTACAAAGGTCTGGCGTTTGGGCTTAGTGGGCGTACAGCACTTGATACCAGCGGGGTTGGACATCTGCATTTTCGATATGAAACCATCAGAATGCAAGGAAATTTTGCTCTTGTGATATGATACAGTTGTACATGTATTGTACAGGCCTGGTGTGTTGCTCTTCCCCCGCGAACCCCAGACGGCGTACCCCCTCTCTAGACACGTCTCGGGTTCTTGCTCCTCGTTCCACCAAACTTCAATCTCGTCGAATCCGCCACCCGAATGACCTTGCTTCTCCAAAGCTTACCCTCGGGGGCCATGAGAACCTTGACTGCCGCGTCACGTCCAACACCGAATCCTCTAAGCACAATCTCGAGCTTGTTGATCTTCTTGTGCCATCCAGCGTAGTTCAACCTCTCGAGGACGTATGCCGTCAATTGATACGCGGCATCGTATCCTTTCCTCTTGGACTTCTTGAAGCCGATGTTGCCGGTCGACAGGGAGATGATGGCGCCACGGTCGGGCTTCGTGACCGTCACGTGCGTGTTGTGCTTGTGGGAGTAGATGTGCATGTGGTACGGCTCCAAAAGGTCCTCCTGTTCGGGGACGAGGTCGTCGAGGCCTGAGCCGCTTGAGGCGAGGCCGCCATCTAGCGACTTGCCGGCAGCCTTGTTCAGCGTTTGGAGAAGCATTGTCTGATTGTGGCTGGGCGAGCTAGTTCTTTGTGTCGGGGCCGTTGTTGAGGCTGTGGAGCGGGAGCCGTACATGGCAGCGAGAAGCTCCTGGCCTCCTTTCTTCGCATCGTCGGCGCGCTGAGTCGGGGTCTGGGAGAAGGGTCGGAGAAAGGCAGGGGAGCATCGTGCTATCGGGGATGGGCGGGCGACATTCTGGAAGATGGATCTCGCCAAGAGGCGAGTCGTCGGTGCGGAGCTCATCGCGGGAGTTGTGTCAGGCTTCCTGTCGCAATGAGGAGAGAGAGGGCGGCCTGTTCGTGACGACGATGGCCCAGCTGCAATGAAGATTTCAGAAATTTGGCAAAGCTCCCGTTCAACGTCTGGAGACGTTGCCGCTGCCTGATTGGTTCCCGAGTGGCGCGCCGGGTTGTCTTCGGTTGAACAGGGCCCAGATTTTTTCCGCGCTCCGCTGTCAACCGAGATCGCTCGCCCAGCAGAGCCAGAGCCCAGAGCTTCTGGAACCCCGTCGGAACCTGTCGCGAGCCAAAATTTCTTTGCAACTTTACTCGCCCCCAATCGTCATCCGCATCCCCTTTCCGCCCCTCTCCTACCTCTCTTTCTCCTTATATCCTCTTTTGCGTTATCGTCGAGAGGCGGTTGGCTTGGATTATACTACACACGCACACACAGTATGAACTCTCTCGTGCAATCGGCGAGGAGAAATCCTCAGAATGCGCTCGTGAGAGCTTCCGCGCGGGCGGCGGTCCAAAACCACAGCAGGACACCCGCCTTCAGCCGGTTACTTTCCACAGACATCAGTGGCAACGCTGCGCTGGCCTCATCACGACAACTATCTGCACGACCCACCTCTTTGCGATCACAGTTCCTCCCTGAAGATGTCCGCAGCATCTCGAGCTCGATGCAATCCAGGTCTTTCCACCTGACGGCCAGACAGCTCCAGCAGCAGCAGACCGAGAAGCCAAAGGCAACTGAGGTCGGTGCAAAGCCCGCCGAGGATACCGCGAAGCCCACCGAGGAAGCCAAGGCCAAGGACGCCGAGTCTGAGGGCAAGGAGGAGTCATCCGAAAAGAAGGAGGGCGAGAAGGCCGAGGGAGAGGATGGTAAGGAGGGCGAAGAGAAGCAAAAGGAGAAGAAGGAGGACATGCCGCCTCCCCCGCCCCACGGCGACAAGACGCCGTGGGAGGTCTTCAGAGAGACGCTTACGGCCGAGTTCGGCAAGTCCAAGGAGTGGAACGAGTCGACAAAGGCACTGTCTGGCGAGATCCAGGACTTTGCCGAGAGCGAAAGAGTCCGCAAAGCCCGCGAGGCCTACGAAAAGTCCTCTGGCGCCATCTCCTCTGCTGCGACGAGCGCCGTCAAGACCACCGCTGGCGCTATCGGAAAGGGTGCCGCCTGGACCTGGGATACCACCGCCATGAAGGGCGTCCGCAAGGTCGCCAACGTGACGGGAGACGCGCTCGACAAGGCGACCAAGCCCATTCGCGAAACCGAGGCCTACAAGAACGTCAAGGATGTCATCGATGACGGCAGCAGCTCGCGCTACGGTGGGTGGGTTGAGAAGGAGGAGCGTAGGAAGAAGCGCGAGGCTGAGGCCCTCAAGCACGGCAAGCCTGAGATCTTTGAGGAAGACCCCAAGTAAGTTTGGAGGAAATTAATTGCCTACAGTTTTGGGGCTCTCGACTGACTGTGATGAAGCGCCGGCACCAACGTCACGATCCACAAGGACGCCGCCTGGAAGGAAGCGTGGAACGAGTTCAAGGACTCGAACAAGTTCGCCCAGGGCTTCTTCAGCGCCGGCAAGGTCTACCGCGAATCCGAAAACCCCCTCATCGAGACCGCGCGACTCGTCACGGACAAGATTGGAGGATGGTTCGCCGAGAACGAGACGGCCCAGGTCATCAAGAAGTTCCGTACAATGGACCCCAGCTTCCGAACGGAGCCATTCTTGAAGGAGCTCCGCGAATACATTCTGCCCGAGGTTCTCGACGCCTACGTCAAGGGCGACATCGAGACGCTCAAGCTCTGGCTCTCCGAGGCCCAGTACTCCGTGTACGAGGCCCTGACGAAGCAGTACCTCACCGCCGGTCTCAAGTCGGACGGCAAGATCCTCGATATCCGCCACGTCGACATTGTCCGCGCGCGCATGCTGGACCCTGGTGAAATCCCCGTCTTCGTTATTACCTGCAGGACACAGGAGGTGCACGTCTACCGCAACGCAAAGTCTGGCGAGCTCGCGGCCGGCATGGAGGATAAAGTGCAGCTGGTGACGTACGCCATCGGTATCACCCGTGTACCAGAGGACGTCAGCAACCCGGAGACGAGAGGATGGCGTCTCATTGAGATGCAGAAGAGCGGAAAGGATTACTACTAAACCACAACCACCAACACCAACACCAACACCGACACTACTATTATAACCCCCCACTCCCGACTTTTCAAGGGGGTGTACTTCTCAAAAGCGACGAAGATGTTTGGATGATGAATAACATCTTACAAAAAAGCCCCCTTCTCGCAAAAAAAACTTCAGACAACAAAAAAGTGTTTTACTACTTGTACAAAATAGAAACCGGGGGGCATATGGGACTGGCGAACATTGGGCGCGACGTTGCCACAATGGTATGTGTGGCCGAAGGGGGAGGAAAGATAAAACCCAACACCGCTCTTGAAGGCTGTATGTGTACGTGTAGAAGGAAAAAATGTGTCTTTCATGTAGACGAGGCGATTACCCATACTTCGCGATGTAATACCAAACGAGAACTGAAAATGTCCTCACCCCATCATGACTTTTCTCGGGCCCTCTCTTTTGCCGTGTTATTTGCCGTTTTGACGGGTCCCACGTCTTCCTCTGCTAGTCTCGACTTCTTAACACTCCCTTCGTCTACAACCTGACAGTCTTCACCCTCTTCAGAACTCCGCCTCCGCTTCGCCTTAGCCTCAGCAACCTCCCTCCTCCTCCCTTTCCTCTCCTCCTCAACCTCTTCTTCCTCCCTCAACACCGTCCTAACCTCCATCAAAATCTTACCCAGCAAATTCAACCCCCACCTACCCCGATCCGCACTGGCTGCCTTATCCGGCGCGAACCCGATCCCCCAGATCCGATCCATCGGGCTCGCCTCCACAAGCTCCCTATCCCCCGTCGCCAACAACTTCTTCCGTAACTCTGGCGCAGAACGGAATTTCAGGAGATTGCCCTCGCGAACGATGCGCTCTCTGTTCTCGTTCCACAGCGCTTCGTTGAAATTGTGCACTTTACGGCCGAGGGCTTTGACTTTACGCGGGTGGTCTGCTTTGAGGATGGATAGGGCGACGGCGAGGTCGGTGAAGAGGAGAGCTTTCGCGTGCATCATGTAGTGTTCTGCTGACTTGAATGTTATGGGTGTGGAGGAGGATGAGGGTGAAGAGGGAGATTGGGTGAAGGGGTTGGAGGTCCACCATTGGGAGAGGTAGCCTTCTTGCCCGGTTTCCCGCCAGAAGTAGATTGGTGATGTGTCCATGGTGATTACGGATGTGGATCTCATACTAATTGTCTGTATTTGAAGCTTGAATGCTGTTCTTTATCGGTGGCAGGCTTGCATGGCTTATATGTGTTGGGTGATGTTGAAGTGAGGCTGACTTTGAAGGCAACTGTCTGCCTAACTGCATGTTAGTGCCGCCGCCGGATGACTCAACCGAGCGTGAGCGTCAATGCGAGAACATCAAGTGAGTTAAGATGCAAGAAATCTCATGCAGCACAATAATCAACTCTGTATAGTGCCCGGAATGATGAAGAAGAACAAGATCACATTTTCGTGATACTCGAATAAACGCCTCACTTGGGTCCCTACCCCTGGACGAAGCAATGAGCCTGCACACTCATGTAAACCATCTCACTCAACCCGATTTATAAAGAATCCCATCAACCTGCTCATGTCTCCTCACAGCATCCTCAAAACTAGGCAAACTCTCGTCCTCCGCAAAAGCCTCATAAACCGCCCCAACACACCTCGCCGGCACAGGCAACTCCGCCTGCCACCCCTCCTCCCACGCCCACGGCACACTCTCCACCTCGCCGCTCTCAAAGTCGTGGACCTCAATCTTGACCCCATCAACGTCCGCAAACGCCTGCAGCGCGACGCTGTTATGCGACGTGAGCCGAATCTCGCCCTTTTCGCCGTTGATGGTCCACGAGAGTTGCGGCTCGCCGGCGAAGGGCTGGCCCCGTCGGAACCGCGCGAGGAGCGTGGCGCCTTGGGCGGAGACGAGGTTTGAGGGTGTGAGGGTTGCTGTCGCGACGAGTAGATCGGGTACGTTGCTTTCAACCGTCTCGACGATTTGCTGCGTTGACGGGTTGCGGATCTTGACGTCGGGGCGTTGGATTTGGGTGTGCGAGTGTTGGATGGTCGCCTCACCGAGGACGTGCTGGACCTGGTCAAACACTGGAGGCTCATGTCAATGACTGATGAGACTTATGATAAGGGCAAAGAAGAGAACTCACAGTGACCGAAGCCAATGGTGATCACATTCCCCCCAATCTCGCGCTGAGTGAAATACTTCAACCCAACCGGCAAAACATTCCGATCCAGCGAACCACCCGCCGCCCTCACCTCACTACTCAACACCTTTCCAATCCTCCCCTCCTCCAAAATCTCCTTCACCTTCAACAGCGACGGCGCAAACCTTCCCTGGACCCCAACCACCGTCCTCGCCCCGCTCCTCCTCGCCGCATCCGCCAGCTCGCCCGCGCGCTTCGCGTCCTGCGCGAGAGGCCACTCTACATACACGCTCTTGCCGGCCTCAACGCTAGACAGAGCCGTGTCGTAGTGCTGATCTACGCGCGTCGAGACGACGACGAGGTCCACGTCCGGGTCGGCGGCAAGATCGGCGGGGCTGCCGTAGGCTTTTGTGGAGGAGGGGAGGTTGTAGGCTTTCACTGCGCGCTGGGCGGCTTCGACGCTCGAGTTGCAGAGGGCTGTGATTGTGTACTTTGCGCGGCCGCGCGGGGAGAGGAGGTAGGGGAGGTGGGCGCTTGATGCCCAGGCCGTCGTTGCGGTTGAGGAAAGGCCGATGATGCCGATTCTGGTGGGTGCCATTGTGAAGGAAGACTTGATGTTGGTGGTGAGTAGGGTTGGATGAAAATTGATCGATTGAGCTCTTGCAGCAAGATAGTTCAGACTGTGAGTTTATAGGGAAGTGATGGTATGTAGGTGAGGTGTGTAAGACTGAAGATGATGTGATGGCCGATTTGTAAGCTGGCGCATCGCGGTGTAAGTCGATTGGAAGAGGGGCTGCAGCCACCTTGGTAATCAACATCCCCTGGGTTTGATTTCGAAATCTCAATGAAACCAACGTTGATCTACACTAAGTGAGCTTAAGATCTCCGTGGAGAGAAATCCATTGCCCATGATTTGTCACAGCTGGAGGGACCCGAGCGGATGTGAATCTCAGTCAACAGATTTGCAACCCGTTTCTGCGAGTTTCTTGAAGTATGTCACTCTTGATTGAGTGATGCTTAAAGTTTCGCGATCGACTATATTTACAATGAGTACCTAGAGATATACGGCATGAGAATGGGCCAAAGTGTATTTGTCAATCCCGGTTCCCTCATTACTGACATCAATCATCCAAGCTCATGTCTCCACAGAGTTTGCTGCAATGATGCCGGCAACGCTATAACCAACACTCAATAACACCGGGAATACTATCACCCTATAACCGCCTGCCTTAGCTCCCGACACCATGCTGACCTAGTCCAGATGTACATCTTGATTGTAACAAGAAACCCATATACTAAAAATACAATCAAACCAACCCTACAAACATCGAAGCCACCAAAACAAACATACCAACTCTCACAGTCGTAAAACCCGACCCCGCAGGTCCTCTTTCAGCAACGTGCAAGTAGAAAGGATATCCAGACGTCTCATTATATTTCAATGTTCCGTTGGTACTCATCTTTTCCTTGTTAGCCCAGCGACGACGACAGGTCACAAACCTAGACAGCGCCGTTTCCTCGTCGGCGTAGGTCGCGGGAAGCTCGCACCACTTGTAGCAGCTCTCGGCGAGCTGAAGGGGATTTGGGTCGCAGCAGGCTACCATGGGCGCATCCAATGTGTTGTAGCCTGGCGTCACGACATTTGTGAGGTTTTCCGGGATAGGGAAGTGTGTGGGTTGTGTTATGAGGTAGGGGTCTGGACATGTTGCGGTAGCCATTGCGGCAGGAGGTTGTTTTGGTTTTGAGAGCCGAGAAGTTGTAGTTGAGAATGGTGAGAGACGCCGGGGGTTAAGTTCTGGTTGATGGTAATGCTCGTTAATATCTCTGTTGGTCGGAACCGTTCGTGGGAGAGATGAAGTCTCGCTGAAATATCGTGATATTGCTGCTGTAGGTACTCGTTTCAATTTGATACATGAAACACCATTCATTCAAGAGATTTTGTGATCAATATAGTAGATGGAATTGCTCGCACACTCCAATATTGACTCAACAGTGGTTCTCTACACAGTTGCCCAATGTCAGCTTGACAGACGCCCGACTGCAGTCTTGCCAAGCCCTACGGCGCAGCACAGCTGATTCTAGACCTATGTACCGACGTCATCCAGCACTTGACGGGATGCTTAACCGGTCTCAACGAGCCATCGTGACCAGAGGTAAGGGCGAAGAATCTTGGGTAGGTTCCTGGGTTTAAGGCTAAAGGTGCAGAGGCGTAGAAGTTCCTGGTTTGTTGGCGATCTTTGCTGCTGACAATGGCAGCGCGTACCAGTGACGTCGATGGCCGAGCATGGGTCGTGATGCTTGTCTTAACCACCCTTCCACACGGGCATGCTGCGCCGTTGAGCTAACCAATTCGATATTGCCTTGATCAATCTGTCATTCATTTCGAGTGCAACGTTCTGTTTCCTTAAATCAAGTCCCGCAGCGGATTTCGCAAAATGTCGCCACGACTGCAGCCAACCACTATTGTTCTCGGCGGCCTTGTAAAGCTTTGCGATGACTTCAACATGCTTTGGAATTCATGAATTTCATGAACACCAGTGTCAAGACAGAGTACAACCAGCTTCCATATGCCGCGGCGATTGATGGTATAGGCAAAATGAAGATTATATCAAGTCTGATGCAGAATGAGGATACATCTTATGCCTCACTACTACCTACAATCGTGAAGAAAAAGCCATCAACCACCTCACAAATCCCCGTCCCCAATCAACCCCTCAAGATCCCTCAAGCTCTTAACCTTCATCATCCTACCCTCCCAAGACGTCTCCCCCCTCTCATCAAAAAATACACTCAAAATCCCCTCCCCCAAAGCAGGTTCTATATCCCTCACCACACTGTCCCCAACAAATACAATCTCCCCCGCCCCAATCCCAAGATGCCTCAAAACCTCCCCAAACAACCCCTCCGTCTTAGCCACCCCAAAGAAATTCGTCGTCGCCAGAAAATCAATATACCCTCCAATCCCCAGCGCCCTCACAGTCCTCTCCTGCGCGTCCTGCGGACCCTCCGTAATCACGACAACTTTTTTCCCCGCAGACTTCAACTTCTGAAGTAACGCCTCCGCGCCATCCTTCAATTGAAGCGACTCGTTCAAAGTCCGCTCATACACATCCAACAAACCCTCCAGAAACACCGTATCGTCGCTGGGTAATCCGAACCGGTCCAGCACCGAAGAGAAGCGTTCCCGTCGATACTCGTACGACGTCTTACCGTCAGAAAAGGCACCAGCCGTCTTGGCGCGGAGGACGTGACCGTACGCCTCCTTCAACTCGTCAACGGGAGTCCCGTGTTTGGCGGAGATGGCTTCCAGCGTCTTCGTCGTGGCGGCCGAGGAGGCCCGGCGGAATTCGTGGAGTGTGTCGTCGAGGTCGAAGCCGAACCAGGGTTTGTCTACCAAGCTGACTTTGACTTGTGAGCTGATGTTGGATCCGTCCATTTTGAGGTTTCTTGAAAGGGTTAAAGCAGGTAATGTATCCTGAACGCGGTGCTTGGATGTAGAAAGTATGCCAATCACGAGAAGTGACCCGCGGCCATCACGGCTGAATCCCCGGAAACCGACGGAGCCCGCGATCGGCCCGGGTTGACGTGATTTGACTCAGCCTATCAGATCCATCCCCACGCAGGGCTTCATCACGTATCAAGGTCTGCAGTGTGGTCCATATTGATTTGCAAAGATCTTTAATTACCAAAGGAGTTCTGTGCCCCAAAGCGTCTTATCCAGCGTGCTGTCATCCGGCAGCAAGCGTGGCATGTAAAAGACTAGTAGTAATGTACAATAAGCGGGAATAATTACCTCCTCTCACAATATCTCATCGTCTCCAAGGCTCTCATCCGCGTCCCCGATATCGTACCCCATTTCTCTCGCATCCTGTGCTCTCTCGCTGGCCACGCGCGTGGCGTGCCAGGCGTCCCACTTGGCCCTGTCGCTAGCTGACTCGACAACTGTCCGTTTCGCAAGTCCCCTCTTGCGAAGACGACGGCGGAGTTGTCGCTTGTCGTAAAAGTCGAGTGTGTTGATATCAATAGTCGTAATATCGGTCCCCGTCACAAAATCCAACGCATCAGCCCAAAGATCTGACGCCTCCTCGGAGTACTGATTCGCGAGTTGGCGACCCAAGCCACCTGTGGCCCATTCATCGAGCTTCACAGGAATTGCAACACCCCACGTGGGATCCGTCGGTGACCAAACGCAAGGTGTCGAAGAACATGAGGTTGGTCTACAGTAAGCCTCACACATGGCAGACTCGACAGCGTACCAAAGCGAGACAAGGAGGAGCACTAGCCCGAGGAATGTCAGGCGGAAGGGATTGCGACGGTAAAGGCTCGGCACAGGAAGGTGAAGGTACGACACCTCCTTGATGGGAGTCTGGCGAACGCAATCTGGGCAATCGCGGGCGTGATCCGGGTTGTGGCGGTGATGCGGTCCCTTGGCTAGCGGCTGCTTCTCTGACAGTTTCTCAAGTGTAGCAGCATCGTCATGTTTGCCGCCCTCAGCGTGAGACACCTGCCCCTCCAAGCGCTCGATGCCCTGCTTAGCGGTACGAATGTTGAAAAGCCCGTCTTTCAATGTCTTGCTCATCCTGTCGTACTGCTCTAGCTCGTGGTTTCGCTGACTTGTTGGAATGTTCGGCTTGGCTGCGACTTCCTCCTTCTTGACCGCAATGTCATCGAGCATCGACTCGATATCCAGGTCGGGGTCGTTCTGAAGCTTCTGCCTGTTAAACAGCTCCTCAAAATCGTCCAAGGTTGAGTCTTCAATCTGATGAATGCGTTGAAGCTCCTTTATATCGTCCTTGACTGTCGGCGGCTTGACTGAGTTGGTCAGAGGTTTCCGTGGCCGAGAGGTTGATCTGTTGCGGCGTCGCAGGCTGGAAGTCGTGCTTGTTCCACCCGTCTCCTTCTGATCGCTCGTTTCCGAGCCTGACTCGGTGGCCTTGAAGAACGTACCTGCCCTTGACAACGGCCGTGATCCTCTTCTGCTCTGCGGTCTATCGAAAGTAGCATTCGAAGATGGGTCAGGCCTCTTCAATGGGGGCAGAGTGTTCTCCTCGATCCGTTCGACCTTTACCGTCGCAGGTGTCTCGACGTAAGCCCCGGTCACTCTAGGTGTAGGGAGAGATAGAGGGTCGACTTTCTTCGGCCGGGGAGTCTCGCCTGCGAGGTCCTTATCCTCATCCTCGGTAGCAGGCTCCGCAGAAGGTGCTCTCGATCCACGCTCAGACTGATTGTCCGCAGGTGCGAAAAGCTTCATCTCTTGTTCGATGCGGTCTGTAGGATCACCACCATCCGACAAGGCAACGCTCTTACGGTTGTCCTTGGCTGAGTCGGTTGACTTCTGACGACGTTCTCGGCGCCTTGCAGCGAAGTCCACGCGAGACTTAGGTCTCCCTGTCTTCGGCGCATTAAGCTGATCTGTGGAACTGGACTTGGAGTCATATGTTTCTTTCGTTTCGGTAGAAGCTGCCTCGGATACTTTGATGGTTTCTCTGCGGTTCCGTCGTGGTGGGCTGTTTGATTCGGGTTCGTGTTCGGGGGCAGACCGTCTAGCCTCGCTTCTGCGCCGCTGTGTCTCTGCCCTCTGCGAAGTCTCCTTAGACGTTTCTTTCTCGAGTCTTTCCATCTCAAGCTTCAATTGTTCACGTTTCTCCTCGTCAAGCTTCTCCTTTTCGACTTTCTCTTTCTCAAGTTTTTCCTTCTCGTCCTTCTCCTTAGCGAGCTGCTCCTTCTCGAGCCTGTCCGTCTCGATCTTCTCCCTCTCCAACCTCTCCTTCTCCAGCTTCTCTCTGTCGAGTTTCTCCCTCTCAAGCCTCTCCTTCTCCAGCTTCTCCCTGTTGAGTCTCTCCTTCTCCAATCTCTCTCTCTCTCGATTCGCCCTTTCCAACCTCTCCTTCTCGAGGTCTTCGATGCTAGGCCCCTTTTTCTCGTCTATCGCCACGGGCTGACTATTAGTCTCAGGAGCAGGACTGCTACTCGCAGCTCTCGCGAGCCTCTGCAACAAATCCCTCGAGTCTGTTCGCGCATGCGCACCTAGTGGCCTCGCAGGCTTGGGACTCGCCCGCTCGTTCCGGCTCGCTGGCGACTCAGACAGCGATTTGTTTCGCTCCCGCACCGGCGAGTTGCGATAGATTGTGACAGGCGTGTTGGCGATGTGCTCGCCGTCCTCTGTGGGCCATACTGACTCCGCAGCTGCCTCTCGGATAGGCGTCGACTCTCTCGCGAAGTCCCCACTTCGCCGACCTTCCGGTGACATGGATCTTGACATCATTGAGTTCTGTTCCCTAATGTCCTCCAATCGGCTAGTGGCGATGGCCTTCTTAGACAATGACTCGGCTTCTCGGGCTCGTATCTCGTCGAGTTTCGTGTTCTTTGGCGGGGCTTGTGTATCGACTTCTTCACGGTCTGGTAAATCATCGGGTGTCGGGTAGTAGGAGCGTCGCGGTAGTTTGGCCAACTGCTCCTCTGCCTCTGCCTCTCTCTCGCGAATCTCCTCCAGCCTTGTGTTATTCCTAGCCCTTGGCAGCGCCTTTCGCGACTCGGCAAGCTCCTCCTTGGCTTTCTCTTCCCGCTGACGAATCTCGTCGATCCTAGTATTAGAGCGCCCAGCCCGAGGAGAAGGCCCTAGCGGTGACTCCCGCCTGAGATTTCCGTTCAATCCCAAAAGCTGCTCTTCAGCATAAGCACTGCCGTAAGACGATCGTCGGTCGGACGCTTCGCTGAAGCCAGCGCCACCGGTTCTTATCCGTGGACTGTCTGAAATCTGCAAGTCTCCCGCCGTGAAATCCGCGTCGAGCTGCCAGGCGTAACTCTTGTCCGGGGATCGGTAATCCGGGTTCGTAGAAGCCGGGCGAGATGTTGGTGGAGTGGGCTCCTGAGGCAGACGAGAGGTCTCTACAGAGGGCAACGGTGTGTCGGCTGCAACCTCATCGTCTGGTTTCGGCCTGGCGGATCGCTTGATACCCTTCTCATCCTGCTCCAGAAGCTCCTTTATGTGTCCTTCAGGAACATGGCTCTTTGCGAATGCTCCGGGACGCGGGCTGGCGCTCAAACTGCCGTAGCTTGTCCTCCTACCCAAGCCCGGGCCACCATTCAAGCTGCCATTACTAGCCCGCCGGTTCACACTCTGAGACCCGTTAAGGCTGCTGTTGCTTGTTCTCCTCGCCAGGGTGTGTCCTGTCTCGGCAATCTTTGGCCCCACTCTGGTCTTACCAAAGAAGTGATCCTGATCCCGAGACGCGCTCGGCGACTCGGCCATCTCACGCTCGTATTGACTCAGTCGACGATCGAAGCTTCCAGAGCTAGAGAGACTGTTGGAGCCTGGACTACCGCCGTACCGTCCCACGTAGGTGTCTCGCAACGAGTCGCTCGACATCCTCGAGAGGGGTCTGGGCCGGCTGTAGTCAACCGCATCTTTGCCTAGGGATCGCCGCGACTTCGACTCGTCGGAAACCTGTCGATTGGTATAGGGGCGTGGGGCGGGGCTTGGCGATGCGTCGATGGCTGCGGGAGTAGCTCGTCTCGCCTTCTCGAGAGTCTGTACACGATTCTCGTCCGCTAGCTTCCAGGCCTCGGCGACGGAGACCCCGGAGCCTTTTGCGAAAATACCAATTGTGGATTTGGGCCTGGGAATGCGAGAGCCGGGAGAGACGATCTCGATGGAGTGGTTGGAGTTGAGGGACGGGGTCTGCGAAAGGGAGCTCGAGGGTCGGGGGATCGCGGCGCGAGAGGGAGGTCGGCCGGTCGCACTGGTTTGGACGTTCGTTGGCGAGTATCCGAACCTGTTGCTTCCTGCTGCAGCCGGGGAGGGATTCTGAGGCTCGAGGCTCTCTCGGGAGGGTTTGGAGAATAACGGTTTACGGCCTTCCTCGTCGATAGTCGATTGAGTAGAAGCGCGACGGTTCGCTCGAGCGCCGAGACCGAAGGATGGCGATCGGTTGTATTCCATGGCGACTTGGGGTTGTGGCCACGTTCGTAGTTAGTGGTGGCAACAGTGGTGGTGATGGTAATGTTGTCAAGCTGCGCGCAGCTGCATTTTCTTGCGATGCGATTTGGCGACTAGTCGCGTCATAACAGTACGAGAAGGGGGTAGAAATAGCGACACGAGCTTTACAAAGCTATGAGGCCAAGATGGTCAACCTAGCCGTGTGTTTATTCTCATTGTCGCCAGGGGAAAGGTGGTCGCGCAAAGGGGAAAGACAATATTTTGGGTCGGCGAACAAGCAGGTGGTGAACCGCGTCTTCCCAGGGAAATTGACCGGGGGCCACCCCTGGTGCTTCTTTCCCATTTGGATCAACCCCCCACACTGCCCCTCCTAATCTCGGAGCGGAAAAACAGATAGGAAATGACTAATCGGGAGCTTCCGGTCCAAAATGGTCCAAGCTCCAAGGTTGCGCCGGTCTGGACCCTGATATGGCCGATCCCCGTTCTAGAAACGGTGCGCCGTTAAGCGGCTCTCAAAGACGTCTAACGGTAAGTATCCCGTAACCACGTCTCTGGGTCTGGGTCTGTTCCCTAGAAGAACAAACGACCTTTGCTCACATGTCTGACGTGCCTGGTCGTGTCCCTAGTATCGTGTCTAATACTATCCGAAAACCTCCACAGCTCATTCAACTCTCATATCCTAAGCGAAGATTATACCGGTACGACTCGTCATGCCTAACCCCTGTCCAGTGGCCCATTCAGTCAACGGACAACTCGGAGAGCTATACCTCTTCAGGATGGGTACCCCTGGATGCTCAGGAACATCTGCAGGGACCAGGAACTCGACGCAACAAAGCGGAGGACTCCAGTGTAGCCCGTCATCTCCAGGCTCCAGCTAACCCGAGCAGTCACTGCACTACGAATAAACAGCATAAACATACCTCACGAAGTCGCGGTCCATGATTAGTCGTCACGACTCACTCACCACTCACCTGCCTAGAATCTTTCTCAGCGCTGATAAGGAGAATTTCTCGCTGTCTGCCATCCATATACCAGCTCCAATAACCAGCAAGTCATGAGCTCCCAAACAGAAGTAATCCGGCCATGCGGCAACATGTACGATACCTCCAAACAACCCGCCACTCGCTCGGGCCTGGCATGTCCTAATGAAACCTAACAAACCTTGGTACCACAGGGAAAAGTACTCAACAGCCCGGCACTCCCTCGGCCTCTACCGCTGCGTCGCCGTCACCGGCCGCTACGTACTCCCGCCCGGCATCTCAACCCTCTCCCAAGCCGAGACAATTCTCCAAGACGCCGTCGCACAGGTCATTGCAGAGCAACCCTTCATGCAGGTCGGCATCGCCGACGAAGACAAACAGACGTCCTCGTTCGTGCGCGTCCCACAAATCAACTTATCAAACCATATTCAGTGGTTCCCTCCGTCCCACCCCGGCTCCGGCTCCGGTTCCATTCCGGGCCCCGACACCACCGGCGGGCCGGGACCGGACGCAACCCTCTGCAAACACCTATCCCACCAACACGACCAGCTCTGGCCCGAGATAACCCAACGTCCACCATGGAAACTCTCCATTATCCCAATCCAGACCTCACAAAACGAACCACCAGCGGAGATCGAAGTCATCTACTTCTTCCACCACGCAATAAGCGACGGCACAAGCGGCTCAATCTTCCACAAACGCCTCCTCCACGCCCTAAACAACCCCTCCACCACTCAACATCTCCAATCCACCATCCTCACCCTCCCAACCCCTCCGTCGCTCCCCCTCCCCCAAGAAAACCTCGTCAACGGCCGCATCTCCTGGCCCTACTTCCTCCGCGAACTATGGTCCGCCTTCGGCCCCGCCTGGCTCAAACCGAAGCCAGCTGCGACACCCTGGACGGGTGAAGCCATACGTCTCGACACGCCCTTCCACACAAACGTCCGGATCGTCACCATCCCAGCGGCAACGGTCTCCAACCTCCTCGCTGCCTGCCGCGCAAAAGGTCTGACTCTAACGCCCCTCATCCACGCGCTGGTAGCAGCCTCCCTCGCGCGACATATCCCTGCCTCGGCAGCACCGTCCTTTGAACCGTCTTCCGCCATCAGCATGCGCCGCTTCGTGCAGGACGCAAGTCTTGGTATCGATGATCGGATGTGTGTTCTCGTCACGTCGACGAATCATCCCATTTCAGAGACCCTGACCACCGCACTCCGCGAGCCTTCTTCCTCTTCTTCCCCTTCCTCGGGTTCAACCCTCGAAAACGCAATCTGGGCCGTCGCATCCTCCGTCAAAGCCGACCTCACCACGCGACTAGCAAGCCTACCCAACGACGACATCACAGCAATGCTCCGCTACGTAGACGACTTCCACGGCTTCTTTCGGAAAAAGGACGGCAAGGCGAGGGGGGATAGTTGGGAGGTGAGTAACCTGGGCGCCATCAACGGCCGCAGCAACAACACCTCCAATATCGACGACAACAACAATCACAGTCAGGGCGAGGGTAAGAACGACGTCCAAGACTGGAAATTAACCCGCGCCGTCTTCTCCCAATCCGCCGGCACAGTCGCCCAAGCCTTCTGCGTCAACGTAGCCGGCATCGCGGGCGGCGAGACGACCATCACGGTGACGTGGAACGAGGCCGTTACCGCGACGGAGGTTGTCGAGGCGTTGGCTGGTGATTTGGAGGGGTGGACGCGGAAGCTTGCTGAGGGCGAGGGGTTGTAAAGCAAGGAGCCGGGGTGAGGTTGATGAGGTTATGAGGGCTAGGTTCTGTTAAAGATTACAACGTCGAAATGAGATATGCTCATATAGAGACCAAAGTAATGATAATAGAAACAAAAGTGTTTTGGATCACCATGCGGTACGGCCATACTGTCCGCGGCAGATGAGATTACTTCAATACCTTAGCCAGAGAGTGGCATTCATTGACGAGATCGAACAGTCTTGAACAAGAAATGCGGAAGGGTTACTCATTAAATCTATAATCTGTTTCCCACCGGCATCGCGCCAGGGGAAGTATTGCCCGAGGGAGAGCACCGTTATGTACCAACGTCCCACGCAATTCTTCAGTCTATGTCTCGTCTCTTTGATCATTACCATTTTGATGAATAAGGAAAAAAGTCAAAAACAGGGCCCGGTCGAGATGACGAGATGACCCTATTGCTCACAACGCGCAGTCCATCCACGGGAATGTCGCTCTTCAAGCTCCGTGTCTCCTCCTCCCGCTCTCAAATCAACGCCGAGAATGCAATGCCATCACATGGAGACCAGATCCAGGACCGCGAGGCAACCCTTCGCTCCACCATCGCTCACAACACAAAGAAAATTGAAACCAAATCATGACACTGTCTCATTCAGCTACCATTGGTCGTTTTGGCGACGCCTTGCTGATCCACGGAAGTAGTCGTACTGGGTAGGGTCCGGGTCGGGCGTCTCGGCATCGACCTGAGGGAGTCCACTATACCCCCTCGGTCCGCCGCCTAGAGCGCCAACACTCGGTCCACCCGTGGGTGCGCTCATTGGCATACCCGCGGCGTTCCTCACGAGCGCCGTATCGCTACCGTTGCTGTTGATGGTGTACAGGGGGCTACGGGACCGCTCGCCCATGGTCGCTTGCTGAGCGAAGCCAGCTTGGGGCGGTCCCATGGTAGGAGACTGACGGCCACTTCCAGTCGGCGACATGTACCCGGCAGGCGGCGTAGGCCTAGAACCGGACATGTCGCGGCGCTGACCAGTCATACCGCCCTGCAAAGCAGCGTTCGTGGGCGTTCCGGGGCGAGAGCCGAAATCGGACATTGATCCAGGGGTGCCAGGGCGCATGATGTCGGGATCGCGTCCAAAGATATCGCCCTGGCCATGCTCCTCTGCAAATTCCGCCCGGTTCTTGTAGAATTCGAAATCCAGGTTGGACTCGGAAACGAACTCGAAACCGGGAATGCCTGCTGACTTGCCAGGCTTGCCAGACTTCATGGGATCCAACGCGTACACGTCCGAGTAGCCAGAAACACTCATCATGTCGCCAGTGTTGACATCTCTTCCGTCCGAAAGACGACCCTTGTACACGACATGCAAGTAAGGCTGCGCCTTCTGGTGCACCATCGGAGTGATGAGAGGCTTGTACAAAGCCGGGTGGCCGAAACGCGAAGCCAAGCGCTCACTGCGAAGGCGAGTTTCCTTCATCACGCCAGCCTCGGGATGCTTGGCAACGTTGGTGGTCGAGAGGTAGTGGATCTTGTCATCATACAATCGGGAGCAGACGACCTTGAAAATGATCAGACAAATCGGCAGTGGGATGATGGCAAAGGCCTGGCTGTGGTAGGCCCAGTCGGCTCGCGCCCATGAGCTGAGGAAGAAGACGCAGTTCGATAGGAAGACAGCGAAGAGCATGCGGTTGAAGAGCACGCGCCAAAACATGCCTCCAGACTCGGTCTTGGTGACAAAGATGTAGAGCAAGAGGTACTTCTTGAGCCAATAGTCGATTCCGTAGTACAACGCGGCAGCAGGAAGAACCAAGGGCTGGATGCCAGAGAAACCCAGAGCAACTGTCGCGTAGTAGAGGAAGTAGTTGTAGTAGGAAGCATACTCAAAGGTGGGAGGTGCCGTAAGCTCAATGAGCTCTCTGGGCGTCGGGCTCGAGAACTTGCGCACAAAGAAGCTGTAGATGAGTTTCCAGAGCTGAGCGAGATCGATGGCGGCACCGAGGTTGCGCTGAAGGAGCCAAGTGACCCAAAAGGGACTGACTGAGCAAAGCGCCGTGAATATTGTGGTTGCCAAGTTCTGATCGATAATGGCCTGCCAAGCGTCGACGCTCTTTTCGCTAGTTTCGCTCACAATAGCCGAGACGAGCGACCAGACGGTGCTGAAGAGCGAGAAAACGATCAGGTTGTTGAACACGAAAAAGGCGTACAATTTGGCCAGAACGTGCCTCTCACGACCCGTCTTGGTCTGATCTCCGGCCTTCATCGACAGTCGACGGAAGATCATGGGCAAGACGAGGTAGACCAGTGACATCAAACCAGGCGACGCAATACCCTGGACAATGGACCACCATTCGGGGTTGGTTTGAAGTTCCGTCTGGAAAGCCGGCCAGACCTTGCCGAGGTTATTGAGATCGATGAGGAAGATGGCGATCATGGCGTTAGGAGCGATCCAGACAATGGTTAGCAACGCGATCCAGAGGTTATTCACGATGCGCTTCATGCGGCGAACCGAGGGCGTCAGGACCAGGTTATCCCAGAGAATATCGTTCGGGCGCGGGGCCATGGTGATGGTTGCGCCGTGCGGATGCTTCTTGCGGCTGGCGTATGCGATGTTGTGCGCCTCAGCAATGTCTGCGTAACTGGCAAAGCCGTAGGGCATGGTGCTTCGCTTGTCGACACTCTGTCGAACCTCCTTGATCAAAAGTTCGAGCTCCTTGATGCGCTGTGTCAGGTATTCGATAGCGTCTACTTTCTGTCCCTTGGGGTATGTCGCGAAAGAGGGGTCCTTCTTAGAGGGCTTGCACATCGGTCTGGCAGCCGGGAGTTGGTCGGGCTTCTTCATATACTTTGCCAGTACCTCCTCCAACTTGCGAACGGTATGGTCATGTTGCTCGATCAGCTTGGGAAGCTCCCTGACGTTACGGGCGATGGCGGTGCGAGAGAAGGATGAGGCGGGCACAACTTCGTCGATGATGGTCGCTATGCCTTCGTCGGAGCATTTGGCTTTGGGAATATCGTACATCTGTTAGGGTCAGTTTGGGGTCCCGTAGTACGTCATCCGAAAACCAGTCTTACCATGAGGGTCCGGGCGTGCAAACTGTTTTGGTACTCCTCGCTCTCGAAATACTTGCGTCGGAGGCGCAAGACCTTCCGATAATTCCACCACAAGAAGCCCATAACAACAAAGGTGATGATGTACGCAACTGCGACCTGTGCCCAGTACGCATTGCCCCATACTGCAATGGGAGTAATCAAATCGATCCAGGATCTATCCTTGGTCGAAGTGCTCTCTGCAGTGCTGAGATAGGTGGGGATCAGGATTCCGAGCCCAAACACAGAGATGGTCGCGAAGATGTATAAGCACATGCGAACGAAGCGGAGGAAGACAGTGGCGTCCATGCCGACGTGATGTACCAGCTCATCCTCGGTCGTATTCCATAGCGGTGGGATCCAGGACCAGATCTTCTTGCCGATGGGTGGCGGAGCATGTTTCTCGTCGGCATGCTTGAGTTTGGGTGCATAAACAGACTGGTTATACGGTCGAAGAAAAGAGAAGGTGACGGCGATACCGACAGTGACACCGAGTGAGGTGCCCAGAGCAGCCCAGACTGAGTTCTTGGCGAGCTATATGGCAGTCAGCATCCAGCGCGAATGGTCAATAGCTGAACATTGATAGAGGGTTTACAAACCTGAGAACTGAAAGGGTTCTTCAGCAGGTCCAACAGCTCTTTTCGGGCGTCGGTGCTCATCTTGAAGGTTGAGGCCCCTTGGGGCGAGGGGGGCGGATCGCGTCTCTAGTTGGCCTCGGCGAGGAAGAGGGCAGCGAGAGACCTGGTTGTTGATGTTATCTTTGCACCGGATCTTCGACAAAATGGTGGTTGAGGAAGAAGCTCGGTTGGCAAATTGGTTGGGTGATTTGGATTCAGGGCGATGGCACAGGAGCTTGTTCAAAGGGGTCCTTCTACTGGCTGTTCGTCGCAAAGGATTGGTTTCGGTTTGGCCCTTCGTAAAGTGTTACCGGGCGCACAAAGACCGCCGCGGAGATAGCAAAGAGGCCTGGTATTAGGTGGATGACGTGGATTGCTGCAGCGAGAGTCGGGGAGAGAAGAGATCGTCAAAAGGGCCCTTGGAAAGGAGCAGCAGCTTGTTCCCACGCACGCGAGCAACGGGAGGGTTCGATTGGGACGATTAGTGGAGCCACAAATGTCGTCGAAAGGCCGCGGAGAGAGGGAGACGATGAGGAGATTGGAACGACTGGCGGAGGGTCGGCGGGATCGCGGGATGGGGGGAGGAGGAGGGAAGAGTTGGGAAAAGCGAGGGGAAGTCGGCCTTGAAGCGAGCGTGTAGGACGAGGTTTAGGTTACGGCACGACACGGAGGGATGGTGAAGAGATGAGACTGCTATGTACAGCGGTAGGAGTAGGGGACGGATGGGACGAAGGAGGGATGGGAAAAGGTGGAGAGGCGTGGAGGAGAAGTTGAGAAGGAACAACCACTGGGAGAGGAAGCTTGTTGAGCCTGGAGGATTGCGTATGTCACTCCTGGAACATCCCAGTCGGTGGGTGCGCCGATATCCGGGTCCATCGCTGGAGGAGTGCGGTTGGCAGCCCAGGGAAAAAACCATTCACATAGGTAGCACTTTAGCTGCGGTACCTTACTCCGTAGATTGGAAAGCAAAAAACACAGCATTAAAAAAAAAAAAAAAAAAAAAACATGATAAAAATGCATACGTAAAAAAACACGGCCAAGGGGATTGGTTCGCCTCAGGTCCTTGCAATTCTTGCGCTAATACCTTAGGTTCTCGAGGCTTGGGATCCACTTGATCCGACCCACCACTACCAAGTTGAGGGATGCGGTACATATCCTTTCGTGTACCTGCTGCTGCTCAAGTCATTCACTCTTCCTCTTGACATTGTGGCTGTTTGCTTCCTGTCTTGCTCACCTCATGTTGGGTGGTATTTGGGGGTTGTTCACCAGGTCTGCTATTTCATGTCGGATTTTCGTATTCTAGAATACTTCTCACGATGGGGATCCTCCATGTCTAATGCTTATCTTTACATGTCAGCATCTGCAGGAACATGCGACGCTCCGTTGTAAAGAACAATTGGCGAGGTAGGTACCTTTCCAGCCTCGGTACGTGCACAAACCGGTACCTCCAGCCAGGTATTGTTCCCCAGTCTCGTAGACGGAATCGCAAAGAAGACGGAGCATCAGACGACCTCATTGGGCAGAATACCCTAAAAACTGCCATCCAAAATTCTCTCCCTCTGCCAGAGCTTGGGACACCCACCACTACGAAGTCCTCCGTCCACAGCACCCGCGACTCCGCGAGATGCCGTGCCGCCGCTTGGCTTCAATGGAAGAGCCCAGAGCTGCGAGCATGGGCCCCCCCCCCCCAGAAGCACGGGAACGCTTTGCATACTGCGTAGTAGCGCTGTAGCGCATCGGCAGGGCCGCCGCTCGCTGTGGCTGTGGCTATTTTTGACACCTCGAATGGTGTCCCACTCACCCACATCACACGCCCTGTGGCCCTGCACCTTTTTGTGCAGTGGCAGACGATCCCCAAGGAATGCTAGACTGTTCGCGGCAAGAAGGGGATGGATTGGTGGTCGATGAATACGAGGCCCATTCAACAAAGTCCTTTCATACCTTTCATACGGGTACCATTCTTCAGATTATGCAGGTCAGGATATCACGTATCCGGCCGATTGATTCTTCTACTTCCCATCGGCGTCCTTTACACGGCCGAAATGCTCAGACAGTACTGGCAGATCTGCACCTGGAAGAGTCCAAGTACACATCGAGACAAAGGGTCTTTGCTCGCGTGTTGCGTCCAAGTATGCATCAAGCGGCAAGCCTCCTCTGGTCTCGCGCTAGAGGCGAAAAATGCCATCATTCCATATGGAAGAAATTTGATGCCACGTTTACTGCACTGCACCAAATTCGTTCCGTTTCGTCCTCCGTTTCCAGCATGATGATTCCTCTCGTTGAAATTTGTTCTTGTACTGAAGGTCAGAAGTAGGGAAGCCCTCATCTCTACACTACCAACAACGGTACAGATACATATCCCATGCTCAAGCGTACACCTTGCGCCCCCGTGTCAGGTTAAGTGAAAAGGGGGAACAAAGTGTCCCCGCAGGACCCAATGCCGAAAGGGAAGTCGTTTCCAACCTTTTCCTGCGTACAAGTTTATAGTGGTCCTTACGGAGTACACTACGCAGTAAGGAGGGTTCACATGACAGGCAAGACCCCGGCAGCGACTCGTCGACAGGGCTGTGCATTGAGGGGAGGTCCTTTTGGGGGGTTCTGGGAAGTTGGGGAGGTTTGGTCAGTTGTGGAGAGACGGGACAGAAGATGGGGGTTCTGATAAAGAAGATGATGGATTTTCTCTCATAATGCAACTTCAACGCGGTCACTTACTCCAGTTCAGTCACTAAGCTGGTGAGCAAGCGATGAGAGCAAACTCAATGCCAGAGTGTGAGCTTCTCACGAGAGATTGCTGGTCGCTGTCAAAGACGAGCATTGTAACATAGTACGGATAAATGGACTCTGAATAGCGATGAACTCCCTCCCTCCATCGGAGCATTTTCTTTACATGTGCTCAGCCACCCTGCTCCTCGGGGGATGATGCATGACATGAGAAATAAGCATTCCTTATTTCGTTGCTTCAACCCATCCACCCTTCTAACCCACACACACACCTTTCATAATATCTGGGTTTCTGTTCTGTCCCAGAACATGGCAACGCCTTATCTTGTACCATCGCAAGTTCACAACCGAAGGCTCTCAAGTTCATACACAAAATAAAATCCGTCCAAGCTGAGTTGAGATGAGGTGAGGTAAGGCGTCCAAGTCCGACCCCCATCCATCGCCAAGACCACCGATGTTCCCCTCCCGCAACTCCCGCCGCCTTTTCCAGAACAATGCAAAAAGAAGCTAAGCTACCTTGAGCCACCGTCCCTTTGCCCGCTCACGAAAACGGAAGAAGCCCAGATCCCATCTGCGTCGTTCCCAACCGGCCCGTTTTTTGTTGCACAAAATCCTACACAGGCAGAGCCCAGATCGATCCCCTACGTCACAGGGCTTCATCGCCCCCAAAGCGATGGCGGCCTCTATACCATTGGCAAAACTTTCCGTGCCCTTTCCCACCGCCGCCACGACGCCGTACCGTTTGAACTGTAAAACATGTTGAGAGACCTTACCGTCCGCCTCACACTTTCCATACCTTTGCACAACAAAGGCGCAGAGTCAGGTACAAACGCAACGCAACGCCACCGCGATCTTTCCATGAACCAGCGCTGTTTGCCTCGAAACCGCTTAGCGTCCATGCTCCATGATCCCATTGTTTACTTGTTTTCCCCATTTGGATTACCGCAAGTAAACATACGCACGCGCACTCGCACACACCTGGGTCTGAGGCTGAATCTTTCGGCAAGGCGCACATTACTCACGGTTTTTGGTCCCCTGTTTTGTTGGCTCAGATTGAACGTGATGTTTCTCCTAATGCTCTCGCTTTCCCTCCAAGAAAAGACGTTCCCGTCACACATAGCCATACACACGCGTCCCCTGCCCTCGGTCCTGTAAGAGACACGCCAAGTACGCCCAGCTATCATTCCCCATCTCCCGAAGCTTCTCAAACATCTTCATTCCGGCACAGCCTGTTCCTGAATGATGAACCCTCAAAAGGGCTGAAAGTACTCGGACAGAAGGTGAATCAAGCCAGAGGCAACAAACAAGAAGAAAAAAAACAGCGCATGTGCTTGCAGCTTCTCCTTCTCTGTTACGTCCCCCTAAACCCGCACCCACGTAAGTCGACAACGAATTGATCGGCAAACCCTTGGCTTTCTGGTGACGCGGTGGGTGGAGAACCCACTGATTCTGTCACGGTCTGGACCCGAAGGAGCCTCTCTCTCTCTCTCTCTCTCTCTCTCTCCCGAGTCCACGAACGGCCGGCCTCCCCCCCGCCTAAAGTATCCTGTAGACGTCATCCCGCGCCTTCGCTCGATTAAACAGTCGGAAAGATGATCAGATGCAATTCCACGTGTGTGACTGGAGCAACTTTGAGTACCACTCGGGGGGGCATTTCAGACCGCCGATTACAAACAAGTATAATCAACAAATCCATCTCAACTACACCCAGAAACAAAAGTCACAAAAGTATTTTTTAGAATATTTCTTTGAAGTGAAATATCCAAGTCATTTTTGAATAACCGAGTACTTTTTCTTATAATTCAAAGGCTTTTGAGAGAACAACGTCTGCTAGCACAAAGCGAGGTCACTTCAATACTGGCGGTCTAAACTGTGCCCCCGCTTGTGGCAAAGATTCACAATGCTGCTTCTGACTCGGAGCAATGTTGCTAGCAGTCCAGTATGCAAGTGATCGAGACGTATGATACCCTGGGGTGCCTGCGTCTGGAGGCGTGAGGTACTTTCGTAGATGTCACGATTCCACCTTAAGCCTACCTTAGTTTGTTGTCAAGATGTATCGACTACTTTATCAGCTCAAATACCAGACTAACAGCAGCGAGCATAAACTTTCGATACACCGTTAAGGACCCTATCGCTTGAACATCAATGGCCGAGTATCAAGCCAACTATCGAGCTATCAGAGCCCGTTTTATCTTGACTCAATAGTCGAACTCAGCAGTTAGGCAAATTCCTGCATTCAGCTCTGAGCTTCAAGCCATGCTCTACCTGATGAACCAAGTTTCGGTGGACTTCCTCGATGTTGTGTTGCCAGACTTTCGGCTCAGAAGTGTACCATCGTTTCTTGATTTCACATGTATCGTGTTGGTCTATTGGTTGTCACTTTCCCATTTTCGACAATCATCAGAGCCAGAACACGGGAGAAGGTATACAAGAGGCCTCGGTAAATGCCATGATTGCTGGTCAATTCTCGACTGCCCGTGTTTCCAAGTCGAATCGTTTCTCAGCCTTGCTCTTCCATCACACGTTGCATAAGAAAGACCACGACGAGACTGGTAAGCTGCATGTGCAAGCGTCCTAGTATATACAGTATCCTAGTTTCCTACCACTCAGTGTCGATACGACGACGACCTGAGCTACAATGACAAAAAGAAAAAAAAAAGCAAAAACAAAAACCCGCGCCTCCTTTTTGCCTACCTATCATAAATCCGCGGGGTGGAAAGAGAGACGCCCGCCCGGCTGGTCCGAACCCAAGCCTCGACCATCATGGTCTCGTTGTTGCTATAGTAGTCTGTGGGACTCTTTGACATTCAAGGAAATCCGAGGCGATACAGGTACGTGCCTCAGAAGCATCCGGCTCACTGCGAGGCCTGGTTTAGACGGGTCCCTGAGAGCGAGTCTTGCGCTCAGTTCGACCGGGAGAGTGCAGAACCTTTTTGACCTTGCTGGCGACCTTGTGGCCAAAAGATTCCTTCTCCTTCTTGGGACTCTCCTTGACTGGCTTCGCAGCGCCATTTGAAGGGGGTCGTCCAGGGCCTCTCTTGGCCTTCTTCTCTGCGGGCTTTTCCTCCGGAGCAGCCTCGACAGCTTCGACACCGTTAGTACCGTTGGTGCCGTTGGTACCATTGGTCTCGGTTAGCTCGTCCGCTTTGCGCTTGTTGCTCGTCTTGGCCTGCGGCGCGGCCTCGCGCTCTCCAGCGCCGGTGGGCTCGGCGTCGTTGAGGGCACCGGTCATCTCGACATCCTTGGTGGCAGCGCCATTGGCGGCTTCGGGCTTCTCGATGATGGGTTCCTTGACTGCCTCTTCCTCAACCGCGGGTGCCTTGAGTATCTGTTGCGGGATAGGCTCTTCGACGGATTCCTTGACGGGCTCGGCGACGGGTGCAGAGGTTGCAGCCGTCTTCTCCGCAGGCTGTTCAGCGGGGATGACCTTGGCCTCCTCGGTTCCCGTCGTCGCAACGGGGCCGTCTTTGTCGGGAATTTCCTCGACGGAAGCCGGCTTGGGCGCATCGGCGGTAGCTTCAGCCGCAGCTGGTGCAGCTGGTGCAGCTGGCGCATCGGCCGGTGGGGCCAGCACAGGAGGGTCCGCAAGTTTGGCGGGCTCGGCAGGCTCAGTAGCTGATATCTCTGCAACTGGTGCGACCTCGTCCTTCTTCTCTTCGACTGGCTTCGTCTCCGAAGCTACAGTCTCTGTGGGCTTCTCATCCGCGACGGTGGTGGCGGTGGTGGTTGCGACAGTCTCGGGAGCTGTACAAGGGGAGGAATGTCAGCGCAAGAAGGTCCGAGCGTGAGTATAGGCGCGGCGATGGGGGAGATGCGATGCGCCGGTACACCGAGAGATGATGAGCCGACACAGGGCGCATACATCAGCATCGCTGTACAGAGGCGACGCGACACCGATGGAAGCTTCACGACATCTCTTACTCACCTTTGTCGATGCCAGCTGCGGCTGGGACAGCTCCAGGAACGGGATTGGGATCCATTGCGATGACGTAACGGGTGTCCGGTGGGCGCACAGTGCGCGATCAGAGATGTGGCAGTCGGTGGTGGGAAAGGGCTCAATGGCCGAGTTCAAGAAATGATGGGAGTTGTAGATGATGGAAATGGATGTGGTGATGCCGATTGAAGATGAGAAAGCTGAAGAATAGAGGGTGAAGTTTGTGGCAGGAGGGAAGACGAAAGGAAGAGGGAAGAAGAGAAGAGGTGAGGTTGGCGTCGGAGCATGGGACTCGGCAGAGCTCCTGCTCCTCACCGGCTGGGCCTTGCTGCAACCACACAGCAAGTCATCGCACAGAAGAAACATGGGGTTGGGAGGCAGGAGACACTGGGGGTGGGAGGGAACGCTTCTGGTTCCACGGGGGACGGGACGAATCAGCAACGGAAAGGGCGGGCTCGGAACACGCCATTGCTATTGCCTCAGCCATTGCGCTCATAGCTTCCGTGCTGCGAAAGAAAGCGTGTGAGTGTGTGTGTGTGTGCGCTGTACTGACCCTTGGCTCTACGTTCTACCTATGGACAACAGGGAGCGGACCTCGAGCGACGAGAGTGAAGCTGTGAGCTTGCAAGGAGAAGGCCGGCAAAAGCAAGGTTCCCCTCGCGGCACATTGGGTGGAGAGGAACCTTGGTCCGTCATGTCAACCTGACGTGACTGCGAGCTCCACGGACGCCGATGGCCAAACCTGGCGATCTTGGGATGTTACAGGGCTGGCGAGGAGGAGCTAAGGCCCGGTTAAGATCCGGTTAATCCGAAAGAGGCCTAGTTAATGGGTAGAGCTGGCAAGCTGAGTGTTTTGAGTCGAGTCTACTGAGGCGAGCAGACGCCGATGAGAGCAGCTGGAGTTTAACGGTCTTCCATGTGTGCTGCCATTGCTACCGTTCAACGGCATCTCATGAGTGGTTTCTCGGATGAGGTGAATGCCATTTCCAAGCACGACAGAGGCACAGAGCGCTTCGGCGTTGAGAAGACGGTGTTGCAAGTCCGTCTCAACGTCTTGTAACGCCGAGAATGGGAAGATGGTCAGTCAAACCAGCTAGACCGTGTACTTCCACCAGAGTCACACTGTACAGAGGAAGCGAAGCTCACCTCACTCTGTAATCCCCGATGGATGCGATCGATTCCTGGCTGGCGGGCGACGCTTGCCAGGGCAGAACTGCAGCGTCGCGGTGGTGCAGCAAGGCGGATGCGGGGAAGGACCAATGGCTGCCCGCGAGAGCAGCGCATCATCTCCACTCTTAGCCAACCGATATCATGTCAGCCAATCAACGCTCATTGACGAAGGAACTACGTCTGAGCTCTCTGGACAAGCTGCACGCCATCTCTGATCGATGATTTTACCCCGGAAAGCTCTTTTGGTGCAGCAGGACAGGACCAGATAGATATAAGTGTAGACGGAAGTCTTGCAGACATTTCCCTGTTATTATCAAGAAAATCTTCGTGCCTGTAGATGCTCGTAATTCCTGCTTTTGACTGATTCAACAGATTGGCACAACTTGTCTCTTCCATCCGTTGTGAAAGCCTCCACTCCTAACCGCAATGCAATACCGACTTGCGAAGAAGGCATTCACTCGTCAGCAAATCCATGCAGTTTTCACCTTGGCTGATGGAAGGAGTCTAGAGGTTCTTCCAAATCGCAGCATAAATCAATAGTTCTCTGGGAGCTGTAAAAGACACTTTTCGATGTGGATAGGAAACAATCAAATTTGAATGCCATCTTCTCCATCATGGGCGGCTTTCATATGGGTAGCCGCCTCATAGGTACCTTGGTAGGGAAGGTAGGTATGTATGCCATGGTTGGTTCCTTCCATGCAAAGGTAGTAGAGATGTAAAGCTTTAGTCCAATTCGGGCAAGAAGCTTGGGCAAGAAACTGTCCGACAAGCTGTCGAAATATTAACGCGAAAGAGAATCGCCCAGAGTTACTACAATCTTTGTGCTTTATTTACTATTTGTTAATGAGAGTGCCTCCTTTGGTAGGTGCAGCAATTGACGGTTTTGTTGCCAATTAAGAAATGTAAAGGCAACCCGAAGCTGATGTGCAGTGGTGCCAGGTGGTGATGTCTGGTGCTCCAGTGTCCCGCCCTGTGGTTCCCCCCTAGATTTCAGGGGCTAAATGAAGCTTAGTCATCAACCACTCAAGGTGCCAAATGGCATTCCACTGCCAAAGGACAGACAGCATCCATCGCCGTGAAGCTTCAAACGCGCAGCCAACTTCACCACGCTCCTTTCCGCCAAGCCAAAGCCGACTTTTTGTGTCTCTGATCTCTTCGATCTCCCCCCTTTCTTCGATACCGAGATCTTTCTTCGACCGCAACAATGGCAGCCAACAAATACTCGGTCATCCTGCCGACCTACAATGAGCGTCGCAACCTGCCCATCGTCGCCTGGTTGCTGAACCGCACCTTCACCCAGCAGTAAGTGCGATCCCTCCCTCCAACCCCGATTTATATCGTCTCTATACACAGTCATGCCTAGAAATAAATAAACTAACGAACATCTCTCCCAACAGCAAGCTCGAATGGGAACTCATCATCGTCGACGACGGCTCCCCCGACGGCACCCAAGAAGTCGCCAACCAGCTCGTCAAAGCCTACGCCCCGCACGTCATCCTCAAAACCCGCACCGGCAAGCTGGGCCTGGGAACCGCCTACGTCCACGGCCTGCAGTTCGTCACCGGCAATTTTGTCATCATCATGGACGCCGATTTCTCTCACCACCCCAAGTTCATCCCCCAGATGGTCGCCCGCCAAAAGGAGGGCAACTACGATATCGTCACCGGCACCCGCTACGCCGGCAACGGCGGCGTCTACGGCTGGGACCTCAAGCGCAAGTTCGTCTCCCGCGGCGCCAATCTCTTCGCCGACACCGTCCTGCGCCCCGGCGTCAGCGACCTGACGGGCAGCTTCCGCCTCTACAAGAAGAGCGTCCTCGACAAGGTCATCTCGAGCACCGAGAGCAAGGGCTACACGTTCCAGATGGAGATGATGGTGCGCGCCAAGGCTATGGGGTGCTCTGTCGCCGAGGTGCCCATTACCTTTGTCGACCGCGTCTACGGCGACAGCAAGCTTGGCGGTGACGAGATTGTCGAGTACGCCAAAGGTGTGTTGTCGCTGTGGGCCAAGGTCTAAGGGAGAGTCTCTTTGGGAAGTGGAAGAATGAAACATGGAAAAGGGAACGGGGGAAGAAAATTAGAAGTGATACGATACCGAGAGTTTTTGTTTGCTGCTGGACACATTTGGCATGAATTGGGCGTTGGGGGACGACGGGAATCCAAAGTACCGATACCTAATTATGAACAAGTCGCATGAAATCTACAATTTTGTTCAGTCATGTGAAAGGGGCCGCCATATGCCCAAAAATTACTGACTACATCCACTCCAAACACAGCTCTTCACATATTCCGACCACCAGTCACCATGATCGTCTGGCCGCTCACATAGCTAAACAGCGGACTGACAACAGCAAGCACTGCCGAGGCGGCCTCAGTCGGCGATCCAGGCCTCCGCAGCGGAATATCAGCATGCGCATCCTGCTCAGCCGCGCCAGCCGCCTTCTGCGCCTGTGGAATCCCCAGCGCAATCTTCTCGCCATCCGGGCCGGTAATAAACGCACCCTTCTCCTTGGCATCCGTCAACCGCGTCTTAATGAACCCAAAGGCAACCGTATTTGCCCGGACACCAAACGCAGGCCCCCACTCCTTGGCAATCGTCTTGGTCAAGCCCGTGACGCCGGCTTTAGCCATGGCGTAGTTGGCCTGGCCCGCGTTGCCGTGGACGCCCGAGGTGGAGCTGATGTTGACGACGCAGCGGTTCTCGCCGTCCTTTACGCGGAAGTAGGGCGCCGCGGCGCGGACGAGGCGGAAGGGAGCCGTGGAGTGCAGCGCGATGATGGTGTCCCACTGCTTGTCCGTCATCTTGTGGATAACGCCGTCCCAGGTGTAGCCGGCGTTGTTGACGATGTGGTGGATCTTGCCGCCGCCGAATTCTGCTGCTTCGGCGACGAGGGTGGTAATGTAATCTGCTGAGAGCATGTCGCCGGGCACGCTGATGGCTTGGCCGCCTGCGGCGGTGATGCTGTCTGCGACTTGCTGTGCTTTTTCTGTTTGAATGTGTCAGTTATGAGGAAGTGTTCAGCGAGGTTGTGGGAAGCCGTACTGCCGTCAATGTCGGAGACGACAACCTTTGCGCCCTCGTTGGCAAAGAGCCGCGCTGCTTCGGCGCCGATTCCCTGTCCGCTGCCGGTGATGATGGCGACTTGGCCGGCGAGCATACCCTTGGGGTAATTCAGGTGAGATGCGATTTGCGCTACGCGATCCGACATGTTGGTGATGGTCTCAAAGTAGTTGACTTGTCTTCAATTGATTGATGTGGTGTAGAAGCTGGTCAAGCTCAAGTAACGATATGGTGCTACGCAGTATATAATTCAAAAGGCAAGAGTGAGATTCGAAGAACAGCTCTACAAGGACTGAAGTGTCGTTGGAGCTCCAAGGTGAAGACCCCTGGGCTGCCGAGGTTCCCCGCGGTTCGCATTCCCGGCCCTAGACGAGGTGACGAGGTACCGGTAGTGGGGTAAGAGCCACCAGACCCGGGCGACGAAATCGCTAGACGCATTGGATGACAGAGCTTCAACGAGTCAAACCTCGAGGCCAATGGGCCGCAATGAAGTCGACTTCTCGGGGGCTAAATGTTTGAGTAAATCATTAGAGTAACAGAACAGGTACAACATGAACATCAGAAAGAGCACTTTGAATCCTTGCATCAATGCGTGGAAGTGACGTTCTGGTGGCACCCCAAGCTCGAGCCTTGGCGCCCCGGTTTGGGGATTAGATAAGATAAGGGGAAGGTGGGATGTCTCCGTCTCTGTTTTGACGACACTCCTCATGCGCCAGGCCGTCCAACACCCCGTCTTGCCAAGCTTTGAAGCACACCAGTCTACAGCCATGTCAACCAGCGGTGGTCGAGGAGGTCGAGGAGGAGGAGGAGGAGGAGGAGGAGGAGGAGGAGATTGGAGGGGAGGTGGTAACAGAGGGTTTCGTGGCGGAAGAGGTGGAGGAAGAGGAGGAGGCATAGCAAGAGGCGGCGGCGGCGGCGGCGGCGGTGCTGGGGCAGGCCCCGGCAGAGGAGGCCGTTCACATTCAGGACCTTGGGGCAGACTTAAGCCCGTCGACTTGGATCCTCTCGACAGCTACGGTCTTCCCTCAAAGGGTGACACAAGGTACGGCCTGCCCTCTCCAAGTCTCATTCTTCAATGGTCTCTGCTAACCAATGCGCCTACCCAGACTCCTGACCTTCAAGACGCAAGAACAATACTACACAAAGATCGTCGAACGCTACATGACATTCTGCTCCGACGCCGGCGAGCGCGACGAACTCCTCCGCCGCTTCGCCTCCCTCGACATCGCAGACTACCCCTCCGTCTCCCCCGCCGCCTCCCCCAGACTCCTCGACGACCCCTCCAGCACAAAGGCCCTCTCAGACGTAATGATGGCCCTCCGTAAACTCCGCGAGGGAATCGTGGCCTCGAAACGCGTAGATGACTTCGCCATCCAGGCATACCTCTTCAACATCCGCCTCTCGGTCCTCGTGAAGCACCCGGAATCCTATCACCCGGCCATCCTCCACGTCCTGCGTACGATTCACCCGGCGCGCAACCTGACCAGCGTGGAGCTGCAGGAGGTGCTGTCGTACCTTGTCCTCGACGCGGCGTGTCGAAGAGCGGATTTGGCGGAGGCGTATGCGATACGGCGCCGGTATAAGCTGCGCGATGCAAAGGTGGATGCCGTGCTGGCGGCGCTGGCGCACGATAATTATGTTGCGTTTCGGAGGGTTCAGGAGAGCGTGGACGGCCACCGGGCCAAGTTGCTCGAATTTGCTGAGGCGGATGTGCGGACGCATGTGTTGAAGTGCTTTGGGAGGACGTATTTGGGCGTTGATCGGGAGTGGTTGGAGAGGTGTTCTGGTCAGGGCTGGGAGTCGTTGACGAGGGATCATGGCGTCGGATGGGAGCTTGATGGGACGAGGGTTGTCATTCGGAAGGTTAGAGCGAAGTGAGGGGGAGCATTGTTGGGATGGTAGATATGGTGCATTTGATACCCCTGGATTCAACAAAAGCGTTCTGAAACTTGGCATGCTGTATGACTTCCAGCTGCTTGGTATGACAATTCGGTCTTTCATCGAGGCTATACCGATAACCTCGAGTCCTTGGTCGTTCCCATATGATTATCGACAGAATCTCTACTGTCAGGTAGTGTATCTAAGCGAGCTTGCGGACAAAGATCAGCAAGATACTGGCATTAATTACCAATGGAATTATTGGCACAATATTGGTAACTCAGAGCTTGAGACTCGTTACCACTTCGAATTCACTTCGTCAAATCATGCCTAGACGACGAAATCACTTCTGTGCTTTCTCGAATCCCCACTCATGAAGTTTGAACCCTCTGACGACGGTATTGCGTTCCATTTCACCCGACCGGACGACATCTGACAGCCCACTAACCGAACTCGTGTTCGCCGTTGCCTTCGACCTCTAAATACGACGTTCATAGAGGTGGGTAGTGGCCCAAATCCAGACAACAAGCATAATTCCACCAGTCCACGTTGATATTAAAAAGGCATTCTGATTTTCGAACCATTTCAGAACTTCGTGCAGTGAAAACGTGTATCCTAGGATAGCGAATGGACTAATTGAGAGGATTAGCAGTATACCAGGTCATCTTCAATAGGGAAGAACTGACACAAGAACCTGGGAAATGGCAGCAACGACATGGTCAGAGCAAGTATAGACCTGGAGATTTTATTCGCCGTCGCTAGGTGGTCCCTTTTCGAGATTGGGATTTGTCTTGGAAATTTCCATAATGCTGACGGGTTATGATAGAGAGATTGATCTGTGAGGGAGAGTATCGCTGAGTAAGTATTCTCCTGGTTCGAGAGTACATGCAGTTCAGGTTTGGCAAAAGTTGTCAACGGATGAATTCTAGAGAGACTACACACCTGATAGAAACGACACTTGACGTAATCCTTTGAGTTCAGGGAAAAGTCTGCCGACCCATAAAGGGATATACCGCATATTGCATCAGCGTGACTGTCGCCGCCAGGCTGTGCTTCCACCAACTTTAAACCTGGAAGTTGACAACAGGGTGCCCAGCCCCGCTTGAGCACGACTTTGGTGTCTCAATCTCGATGTCCAGTAGCAGAGGCAGTCATCAGGAATACCCAAGGTAGCTTTCTTGTTTGGGACGCTCCAGCTTCTTTGATCGGGGATGGCAAGATAGAGACTTGATATGCGCGGCCTTCCTTCATCAACTCATTTCTCTCTCATATGTTCTTCCTACTTTCCGCCTCTCTGAGGGATACTGAATGTATTGTTACTTAATCGGGCCGTTCTCAACTTTGAAAACAATACACAATACACAATATACGGAAAGCCACAATGGATCAAGACGGAGAGGTTCTGTTTCCTGTTAGGTAAGTACTGTGCTCTGATGAATCCTACTTACAAAAGTTTCCCTAACAACTTCCCTCTCGCCTAATTTTTCTTGGCATCTGCTGTTAGTGAATGAGTGAGCCTACCACCAAATTACTAACAGCCGAAAACTCTTCACCTCCCCTTGCCGGAGCCCGCATCCGCGATGGCCTCACAGCCGCCGTCGGGCACCGGACTGATGTCGGCCGACCAAGCCGACCCCGAACCAGGCTCCGGGACACCTCCGGAGCCGAACCCCACCTCAAGAGCTAAGCGACGCCGCGACGCCGAGGCACAGCCGACCCGGCCCAGCCTAACGGGAAGCCAGCTTGATGCCACCACCGACGCCCCTACCTCGGCCGAGGGGCCCGCAGCCTCTACCGCATCTGCTCCGAGCGGATCTGCCACAGGGTCCGTCTTGACAGCCCTTGCAGAAGAAGCTAGACAGTACGAGGCACGGAAAGACGTCTTTCTGACCATTGCACGGTCCGTCGACAGCGTTGTCGCCAGCTTTGACGGTTCTAGAAAGCAGATCGCGAAAGAAGCCACTGCCTATGTCATTCAAACCCTCAAGAGACTGATCAATCACGAGACAAGCCCAATAGCGGCCCGGAGTTGGGCGGCTGTCGTCGCACCGATGGCGGGCAACACCACTGCGGCGACCCGGAGCGGCCAGAGCTGCCAGAGCTCTGCCCGCCCGAAGGCCACACTCCCCGCCGAGGATCAGCCGCAGGCGCAGCCGAAGGAGGACCTCCGCATCTTTGCCCGCGTCCCGGAAGAAAGCTTAGCGGCCGCTCGGAAGATCGCACCGTTCGCCGTACGACAGATCGTCTGTAAGGCCGTTGGCCTGGGGCTAGCGGACCTTCCCCACGTCTACCATATCAGCACAGGTTACTCTCTGAAGCCGCGAAACAAGCAAATACAGGAAAGACTACTTACAAGTAAGGCAAAGCTGGCGGAATGCCTCGGCGCCCACCAAGTCGAGACGCCTATCAAGTGGCACACATACGTTGTGCCGCGATGCCCAACAAAACTACACAGCATTGGCGGGACGTCCTGGACCCAGCCACACTCGTTGAAGATGAGGTCTTCGCACAGACAGGACAGAAGCCTGTCCTTGCTCGACCGTCCCGCCTTGGGCCCAACCCAGTCACGAACGAAATATCTTGGCTCATATCATTCACATCAGAGGTCACGCCCTTCAGGCTCTTCAACCAAAGCGGCAGATCTCTGCCCATCAAAAAACGAAGGACGCTCATCCGACATGACCCCGGCTGCCAGGGCTACCACGCCAACCGGTTCTGCGGACGACGACCGACTTGCAGCAACTGCGGAAGACCTTCCGACTCACACGAAACGGGACCTTGCATGGCCAGGCCCCAGTGTCCCAACTGCTGCGGCCCCTTCCAAGCCGGCCACACAGACTGCCCAGCGAGGCCCTCGGTCGTAAACGGCGTCGTCTCCCTTCCCGGTCGAAAGGAGCGGGCTCGGATCCGGAAGGCCGGCCAGAAAGCATCGGACACTCTGTACAAGGCTACTCGATCCGACAGTAGCCAGGAGGCGGCAGGCGTCCCTACCTCCACCAGCCAGAACCAGCAACCCGGCGCCAAGCGCGCGCGCACGAGAACGCCCTCCGCAAGCTCGATCGTTTGCCTCGGTGACGGAAGCACTGACAGCAGCAGCATGGATGAAGACGAGGCGGACGAAGGCGAAGGCGAAGACTCCCCCGACAACACCTCCATCGACCGTCCCGTGCTACCCATGCCAAGCAGGAGCCAACGGGCAGCACAGAAGCCAAACTACAACGTCGCGAATGCCTACACCCACCTCGAACTCGACTCGGAGACGTAAGCCGAGAGCGGCGACCCCACGGATGCTACGCGTTGCGCAGGGCAACGTCGGAAAGATCTCCCCGGCGCACACGGCTTTCCTGCAGCTCTGCTGGGAGGCTCAGATAGATGTGGTCCTCGTCCAGGAACCCTGGACGGGCTGGAAGGACGGAAACGTGCAACTGAACACGCACCCGGGTTTCGACTCTTTCGTCCCGGTCGACTTCTGGGACAGCGAAGGAACAGACAGGTTTGGACCACCAGCCACAGTACGTCTCTCGTGTGGACAGGCCTCTGCTGCTCCACCGTCATCCCTATCCCTTTGCGTGTGTAGGTCAATACTCTTGGTCTGGTTCCTTCGCTGTCCCAGAAGTCGACCGGGACGAAAGAGTCGAAACCCGGGTGCGTGTTCAGTTGCACGTTTCCGTCCTTCCAGCCCGTCCAGGGTTCCTGGACGAGGACCACATCTATCTGAGCCTCCCAGCAGAGCTGCAGGAAAGCCGTGTGCGCCGGGGAGATCTTTCCGACGTTGCCCTGCGCAACGCGTAGCATCCGTGGGGTCGCCGCTCTCGGCTTACGTCTCCGAGTCGAGTTCGAGGTGGGTGTAGGCATTCGCGACGTTGTAGTTTGGCTTCTGTGCTGCCCGTTGGCTCCTGCTTGGCATGGGTAGCACGGGACGGTCGATGGAGGTGTTGTCGGGGGAGTCTTCGCCTTCGCCTTCGTCCGCCTCGTCTTCATCCATGCTGCTGCTGTCAGTGCTTCCGTCACCGAGGCAAACGATCGAGCTTGCGGAGGGCGTTCTCGTGCGCGCGCGCTTGGCGCCGGGTTGCTGGTTCTGGCTGGTGGAGGTAGGGACGCCTGCCGCCTCCTGGCTACTGTCGGATCGAGTAGCCTTGTACAGAGTGTCCGATGCTTTCTGGCCGGCCTTCCGGATCCGAGCCCGCTCCTTTCGACCGGGAAGGGAGACGACGCCGTTTACGACCGAGGGCCTCGCTGGGCAGTCTGTGTGGCCGGCTTGGAAGGGGCCGCAGCAGTTGGGACACTGGGGCCTGGCCATGCAAGGTCCCGTTTCGTGTGAGTCGGAAGGTCTTCCGCAGTTGCTGCAAGTCGGTCGTCGTCCGCAGAACCGGTTGGCGTGGTAGCCCTGGCAGCCGGGGTCATGTCGGATGAGCGTCCTTCGTTTTTTGATGGGCAGAGATCTGCCGCTTTGGTTGAAGAGCCTGAAGGGCGTGACCTCTGATGTGAATGATATGAGCCAAGATATTTCGTTCGTGACTGGGTTGGGCCCAAGGCGGGACGGTCGAGCAAGGACAGGCTTCTGTCCTGTCTGTGCGAAGACCTCATCTTCAACGAGTGTGGCTGGGTCCAGGACGTCCCCGCCAATGCTGTGTAGTTTTGTTGGGCATCGCGGCACAACGTATGTGTGCCACTTGATAGGCGTCTCGACTTGGTGGGCGCCGAGGCATTCCGCCAGCTTTGCCTTACTTGTAAGTAGTCTTTCCTGTATTTGCTTGTTTCGCGGCTTCAGAGAGTAACCTGTGCTGATATGGTAGACGTGGGGAAGGTCCGCTAGCCCCAGGCCAACGGCCTTACAGACGATCTGTCGTACGGCGAACGGTGCGATCTTCCGAGCGGCCGCTAAGCTTTCTTCCGGGACGCGGGCAAAGATGCGGAGGTCCTCCTTCGGCTGCGCCTGCGGCTGATCCTCGGCGGGGAGTGTGGCCTTCGGGCGGGCAGAGCTCTGGCAGCTCTGGCCG